CTTCTGCCTCTTTGCTAATTTTTTTTTATATTGTGAGGAATCAGTTGCAACAGAAAAATAGTCTAATCTTGTTGGCTTCATACAGAAAATAATTAATACATGATACAACATTAGCAGTACCTGGATTTGGCAGAAGGAAAGGTCAGGTATGAAGCCATTCACCCTCAAAGACCTCCAGGCAGCTGCTTGCCATTGGTCGCCTGATAAATTTGTTTACTCTTTATGAGATTGATAGTTGGAGAACGGGAGGAAAATGAATCTGTAACAGATCAGGCACGGAACCAAAACATTCTGCATACTTACTTCTATGATTGCACCATAGGTCAAAAGCTTGCATTCCTAAGAATATGTATCTAAGTGTCAGTGCTCAGATGGGAAAGTTATGATAGAAGAGAACAGTGGCTTTAATCTTGGCCTCACCTACTGGTTTACTCATCTTTAGAATACTTTGGCAAGGTATTAATGCATGACTTACTGTTAGGCTTGAGACCTCTAAAAGGGAAAGGGCTGGCTTTAAGTGTTGCTTTGAAATGCTACAGGCCATACTACAAGAAGCTAAAGAAAATGAAGTCTGATCTACTCCAAAATTCACCACTTAGATGTCATAATCCATTCCAGGATATGAACCTAGATAAGCATATTGGATTCAAAACTCAGAATGTTCTGCTCTTTCCATTCTAATGACATAAAATGAGAAAAATAAATAATTTATCCAACTTTACAGGACACTTTAAGTATATAATTCTTACTTATTACTATACAGTGTTACTATAATAATATAATTGTAGTCTTTTCTTTCACTTGCAGAGAAAAATACTGCCATTGACAAATCACAAGCCATAAAAAATAGGTCACTATTCCCTCCTTTTTGCAAATATTTGTCTAAGATTGAAAAAAAGTGGCATATGGATTCTTATATTTGGATGATGCCCAAAGCAAGGATTTCTTGAAAATTAATCTAGTTAAAACAGGGGTAAATAACTTTGAAACCTGCAGTTTTTGAAGTACAACCCCCAAAACCTGTCTAAATACAAGTTTGAGAAAGTAGAACATGGTGTCAACCCATTTGAACAGATGTTCAGGATTCATGTCTTTGATCATTCCCCAAAAAAGAGTGCTGTTGAAGAGATGATGAAAAGCTCAGTTCCTAGGATTTCTAATAGGAACATGGATTTCAACAAGGGATACTTTTGTATTTTAATTTAATTAACAGAGTTAATTCATGAAATGTTTTAATGTTATATAGGTATCCATCCTTTCCTTAGTATGAGAATAGCCACACTCCCATCTTGATTGGGTTTTTAAATGCTCAGGTTAGCTATTCATTTCTTTTTATTCTAGAAGTATTGATGACTGGTTGATAAGTAGTATACTGCCAATTCACCCAGCTCTCTATTCTCGGTAGGGCCTGCATAGTGACACTTTCCCTTCTATGGCCATAGTTGTCTTGTTGAAGACAGAGTTGATGTCCCATTCTCACTGGACGCTTATCTCTGGACAAGATAGAAATATTCTCAAGAACTGCGAGAAGGAACGAAGCAGCCAAGGGGCAGCATGGAGCAAGTGTGTGTGTGTGTGTGTGTGTGTGTGTGTGTGTGTGTGTGTGTGTATGGGTTGCTATATAAATAGATGTGTTATGCTGTAAATAGCCCCTGTGTGGCCATAGTCTGATGACAGAAGGACATTCCATATTACCCCAGAAGTAGGCCCAAGCAGCTGTTGCTTGGGGCTACTCCTGGGAATACAAAAGGGCAAGCCATTCATACTTTCCAGCTGTACTTGTTCTATTGGATTGACATCTTGTTTCTTACTCTTTGTACCAACTGCTGCTTTGAATTCATGTCATGTAAGAATTGGAACATAGCCTTTAAGTGCTTTGATTATGGCTGATACAATTCGCCCTAAAAATGGCCTGTGGGATGGAATATGTAGGGGACTGCATGTGTCTTTTCTGAAATCATGCTGTTGCTGACGTGTTACTGGCTCCTGATACGTGTTTTGCTCTTGCAGGGCAAGAAACACTTGATAACTGCTTAGTAACTTCCCAATACACTCCTCAACAGGACCTAATTTCTAAAATGAGAAGTGTTAAGGTTTAACGCCAAGTAGATCATGAGCATCGCCAGCACCATTGTGTATATATCTAACAATTGGTACATTGTTCTTAAAGTATTTTAGCAAAAACTGAATATACTTCTGTCAGAGATGTTCTAATTTTTTTCTGCATGGCATATGCCGACTGAGCAGTGAAATGCACTAGATGATCAACTGTTCTTCCAATTACCTGTATAGGACAAAAATGAGTTGTTCCCTGCCCTCAAAGAACTGATCATCTAAATCAGCTCTTAAGTAGGTGGGAGTTTTCCAAGCATGTTAAATTACAAAGCTTAGTATCCTCAGCTAAATCTAAACCATGAATGCAAAATGTTGGACAGGTGGTCCTCGACTTACAACCATTCATTTAGTGACCATTTGAAGTTACAATGGCACTGAAAAAAGCAACTTATGACTAGTTTTCACACTTACACTATTGGGGCAAGTTCATGGTCATGTGATCAAAATTTAAGGGCTTGGCAACTGACATGTATTTATGACAGTTGTACTGTTCCGGAGTCATGTGATTACTATCTGTAACCTTCCCACCTGACTTCCAACAAGCGAAGTCAGTTGGGGAAGATAGATTCACTTAACGACCACATGATTCACTTAACAGTTGCCATGACTGTGACAAAAAAGATAATAAAAATGGAGAAAACTCACTTAACAACTGCCTTACTTAGCAATGAAAATTTTTGGCTCAATTATAATTGTAAATTGTAAATCAAATCAATGCTATCTGTATTCTGTCTTGGATGCCATTTTACCTAATTTGTGTATGAGAAAAGAACATTATTATTTCTTAATTTTTTCATATGCTCATAAATATGATCCTGTAATTCCCCTGCTTCTGACAACTTCAGCTCCGAAAACAAGATTTTTGCTTTGAAAACAATATTTTTATTCTCTTCTGCAGATCATTAGACAAGGAAGGATAGGTGAATATACAGCAAACCTTTCCTCATTATCTAAAACTGATTTTTAGAAAGTCAGATAGAACTTCAAGGCTTGGTTGTTTTTCCCCTATCTTAAACACCATTGTAATGTCATATGGTCACTAAATGAATGGTAACTGTATTATAAAAACAATATCATTGAATTATCTTTATATCATTTCAACAAATTACCATTGGTAATTTCATCAATTTTACCATTGATTATTTCATCTGATTAGAAATAATTTGGGAAATTTTCAAATACATTTTAGTACACATGGCAATCTTTAAGTCAATTTAAATGTTGCTAATTATGATGGGTAATGAGTTCATTTGTTATTTCCCAAAGGACATCCACTTTTACCCAACTTTGGATAATTTACTCAGGTTTGGGAACCACTTATATACAATAAAAATCAAGTAAGACAAAACAGAAATCAAGGGGTAGAGAAGTTAGTTACAAAAAGGGAGAAAGAAATATCCAGTGTAATAAACTTGTGTAACAATAAAAGAAATGATGTGATGTGGGCCTTAAAAATTGACTTGGTAGAAAGGTTGGGTAAAAATAAAGGAGGGGAAACAAGGTGAACTAAGAAACAGTAAAAGACAGCCAAGTCACTAAAGAAAAAAATATATAGATATATAAATGGGGTTGCCATGGAGGGTATTTTAAAAATAAGGGCCAAGTAAAGCTTGATGTCAATGCCCAGAGCAACGAGGAGTGAGCATCAACTCTGAGTATCTGTTGCTGTTTTCAAAGCTCCAGGTATGATTACCGTATAAACATTTATTCTCTCCAGTCTCTTAATATAGTTACAGTATTCTGACATATTGTTTTAGGAAATATAAATACAATCTTTATACTTTCTAAAAAAGTAGCAGTGACATTTCACTGGAATTGGAGGCCCTGCAGGAATCACACTGGGAAGTGAGATGCGATAGAACGTGATATTAAATCCCTAAGCCACGAATTCCCTTGTGGTGTACCATGCATAGAACCTTGTGCCACAAAATGTGCCTTGGTCTTCTGGAGGCTGGGACAGGTGGTGGGATTAGTTATTAATGAGCCCTTATATAATAAGGTCAGGTGCAAGGTCCCAGTAGGATCCTGAGCCTGTTGAATGGCAGCTCTGTTCTTAGCAGAGCCTGTCACAACCCCGGGCAGCCACTCCCAACTCATGTTGGGGTGTATTAGCGCCTCATCTCCCCACATCTCTTAGCAGCAGCTGCACCTGACAAGCTTCCCATTCTCTAATCACTGTGCTAAATATAATGCAGCTGGCTGAGTCCTTAGTTTGGGGTCAGTGAGGTAGGCTTGGAGGGTATATGCTGGCCCATGGCTGTTTCTCCATCCCCAAACAAGATGAAAAATAGAAGTCATGCTGAGTTAGCATTTAAAAAGAAATAGAACCATCATATCAGAGAAGGTTATTTTTCAGTTTTCACGAAATGGTGTGCATAGTTATATTGATCAGTAAGAAATATGGCAATATAAATAGGTGAAAATCAAGGTGGCATCTTTATTAGTGCTTTTTAAAGTGTCACAAAAAGAAGGAAAAAAGAGTCTTTGGAGAATAATGGCTATTAGACTAGATGACAATTTGACTACTCTTAATGGCCATATCTACCTATCATTTTCAGTTAAATTGTAAGCAAATTGTAAAAACTAATTTTTTACTGATATTATGTAAGAGTCCATCACGTTAAATAAATAAAGCTCCACCTTAAGAAAGAAAAAAGATTAATAATTCATTTTAAGAAAAGTAACTTTTCTTGTGTGGGAACATATTTACTAGTTAAAGCAAATTAGAAAACCACTGTTGTCAGATACTCTGTGGAAACATTGACACATATGTATAATACATAGCTTGCAATGACTAAAATGTTTGGATTCTCATTCTGTTTTTGTAGTTAAAGGATAAATTAATGCAAAGTTTATGAAAGACTAGAAATAAAATGTTCAAAAAATATCCTTGATTTCTTTTAATTTTTTCTTTGTCCCTTCTCACAGAATTCTTGCAAGCTTTAACAAGTCTCCTTTGTAAATTCAATAAAGAAAAATTATCCAGGTCATTATCTTAATAATTAAAAGCAATATACAAGTAACAAATAAAGACATCAGATAATGTCATGTCAGGTAACATTTGTTCCTCTTCCATCCTTTTCTTTTTCATTTTTTTTAATTGAAGTGACGTAACATCTTTTAAACACAGTCTATTTATAGAGACAATCACTCTTAAAATTAATCTCTGGTCCATTGTTCAAAAATATCCTTCTGTATTTCCAATGTTAAAATATTTTGTTCATTCTGCTTTAGTAAGTTGAGTGTTGTTCTCCTTTAATTGCAATCTTTAGTTCTTTCTAGTTTTTATTTATGTCCAATTTTTAAAGTCTTATTTTATATATTTTTAAAAGATTTTCAAAACAAAAGGATGGATTTTTATAATTAATTCCAAAGTATTATTTCAAATTTATCTGGATGCTTAGTTCATTTGTAACTTTCTAAAATCAGCCTTTCAAGAAAAAAATTGTTCTTAAACTTGTATTTAAAACTTCTTTACTAATGACTAAAGGAAACTCACCCACTGTTATAAAACATTAATCCAAAGGCTAATCCAAAGGTTTCTAATAGCTGAAAAATAGTTAACAATCAATTTCTGAAAATGATTAGAATGACAATCACAGTTTGAGCAAGATAATTATTCTCTTGTCTCCCAGAGCTTTAAACCCAGTAGAGTCTTCAGGTCTCCTCACTGGGAGAAGCTATTTGTTGTCCATATAATAAATGGATCATTCAGTACAATTACTTAAAAATTCATCTGACAATTTCTCTTAGTGCACTCTAATATTCAGTTGCATTTGATTTTGTATTTCTGACATAGGAATTATAGCAATTTCTGATTATGACGTGTTTAGTACTGTAAAATTTACACATGTTGATCTTAGCCATTTTATGGCACAGTTTCACTAGATAGATTTTTTGTCTCTCTGTATCATGTGGCATGAAGAACAATATCTTGCATTACAAAAATTCATACATTTTTCACTTTAGGGGTAGTTGATTTTGCAGTTGATTTTTATCTTGCCCAGATGGCAATAAGAAGGACTGGGATGAGACAGGCTGCACCAGAGATGGCAATATTCCAATTAGAAGACGTATAGAAGCTGACAACTCAGCTAGATTATGAGCTACAGCCTCCAGTTGGGAACCTTGATTCTTAATGGCAACAGAGACAGAAGCTAGTTCTCCATGGAGACCTTTCATTGTATGGACCAAGTTCCTCAGGACTTGTGATGAGCAGCATCTTTGATCTGGTTTACTTTGTTCTTGCTTTACAAGACAGTTTGGGAATGATTCACAGTGTTCATAATAGGTGACAGGTTTGGCAGATGAGACATATGGACCTGATGTTTCGGTCAGGCCTAGTATGGTAGAGAAAAGAAACAACAACTTTCCAATATCCCAACATATCCCATTAGTAGCTAAGAGAACAATCCTTCCTAGCATGGTACTTTCTATATACATTGCATACGTTGACTGGGAATTATGGGAACTAAATATCCCAACACGTATGTTCTACAAGAGCATGTATGGGTTTGTGGGTTTGCAACTCCCACAATGTTGATAGGGATTTCTATGATCTCCCAATACATGTTGAAGGCATCAGGATAAGGAAATCTGCTATGCAGAAACAGAGATGATCTTTTAAAAAGAGCCTTTCTCTAGCCTAAGAATGAAGATTTGTCTTCAGTACTTAAATGTTTTTCATAATTTACCTTCTGAGTTGAATAAATTGTCCTCCAATTGCCCACTCATAGTTCCTGGACTTGGGTGCAGTTGACTTAAGTTGAAAATATCATTGGAAATAAAGGTAAATTCTGGTGTAGCTGGAACATGTTATAGGAATATGAAATGAGAAAAAATGAGATTTCAGAATCTTGCAAAAAGCACATAGGCAAAAATTCAAATATGTTTTGCTGGAGTTTTCTACAGATTTCTTTGAAATCATTAGCTCAATTCGTTCTCTAAAGAGAATAAGAAATACTATCAGTAGCTACAACAGCAGTCTTCTACTTTTTACTTTGAAAGGGGAAAAACAGGATGTCTTCATAAGTGGTTCTAAGTTATGTATTTACCCATGGTTTAACTATGATTTCTTAATAAGCTACAAGTTTCTGGGTTTATGAGAGCCAGTGTGATTTAGTGGTTAAAGGAATTGGGTTAAGAATGAGAAGCCATTAATTCTAACTGTGCCTTAGGCATAAAGTCAGCTGAATGGGATACCTACGAGATAGATATCAATGGTAAACCACTTTTAAAAATATTGCCAATAAAACTGCAGGGTATTGTCCAGGTAATTGCCAGGAGACAAAACTGACTCAAAGCATATCTTTCTTACTGTCTCACTGTCTATGTCTGTTTGTCTTTCTGTCTCTCTGTCTATTTATCATCTATCTCTGCTATTTCTTCTAAATTCTTCCTTATTCATTTGATAACCTTTGTATGACCTTTGTACATTCCTAAATAAATAACATTTTCTCTCATGTTTACAGATTCTCTTGTGATGGTTTCCTTTCAATTGTCTATAATTCTATGGGCCCTGAATTTGGTACAACCTGTATATATGAATTCATGTGAACATATCTGTATATAGGGAGGGGAGATTATAAATGTGCTACACCATTTAAATAACAATAAATCAAAACCAAACAAATCATATTACAATTCATTATGAATTGTGACCTCAATCATTGAGTTGTTGAGGTAATAGTAACTGAGACAAGATTAGCTACTGCTATTACATTTTGGGTTCTTTTTTTCTTAGTCTTTCCTTAGCCACACTGAATCACTGGTCTATGAGATGGTGGTATATTAGATAGATAGATAGATAGATAGATAGATAGATAGATAGATAGATAGATAGATAGATAGATAGATAGATAGATAGACAGACAGACAGACAGACAGACAGACAGACAGACAGACAGACAGACAGACAGACAGACAGACAGACTGACTGACTGACTGACTGACTGACTGACTGACTGACTGACTGACTGACTGACTGACTGAATGACTTTTCCTTCAGGAAGATAAAGTTAAGTAAATGGAAAGAAGAGCTGCCACAATTCAAATGCCTGCTACTATTTTTTCTTTGAATTTTGCTCCAGGAAAAAAAGGAAAGAGCCAGTGAGCCATTACTGCTCCCTTTCTCCAACCTAACTACGTGCCTCCCAACCTAACTATATGCCTTTCTTTTCTGGTAGCAAAAAAGACAAAAAATAAGAATTACCAATGCTAAAAGGGAACCAGACAATGATTCATTATGCATGGCACATCCAATCTTAAGCCTTGCTTTGGGATTGTTACTCACCTGTCGGCTGCACTGGATGGGGAACTGTATTTGATTCTTCCTGTTTTTCTTTATTTGATTTCTCTTCAGAATCTATGACTTTGGGGGTGGTTGTTTCCATGTGCTTCTCAGGTTGAAAATTTGTTGTGGTTATTGGCAGTTCCATCTCTTTTGTGACTTCCAAGTTCTTTGAGAATTCAAACAATTCATTTCTCCCATAATCAGATGTACTTATGACTTTCTTAGGTGCCTGAATCCATGTGGCAGTGGTGATATCCTGATTTTCAGGGAAGACATCACTGAATTCTGTGTTCTTTGTGGCTGGAGACACTTCAGCATTGCTATCCCAATAGATGGGATGCACTCTCTCAACAGCAGAGTTAAAGGATTGTGCAAATAGAGGTGGTTCTGCTCCTGATGGCCTTTCTAATTCAATTTCTCTGTCTGATTTAATATCCCACATGGATAAGGATTTAAATTCTATGGCTGGTGAAATTGACATTTCCCTCAATTTTTGAAATGACAACATGATCTTTGAAGAACTGGCTGATTCCATCTCCTGCTGTGGGTTCTCTGAATTATACATTATTTTATCTATGAATCCAGGAGTTGTTGACTTTATTTCTCTTTTAGATTCTGTATACCATGTGATGGAGGATGGCTGATTTTTTTCTGAGGAAAAAATAAATACTTTTTTCCATTTGTGTGTGGACAATCTTGTTTTAGGGAAGCTGTATGGATTTTTTTCCTCCAAGTGCTGCAATATTTTTGGACTAAGTGTTGCTTCAACAATATCTGAAGGATTTATTAGCTTTGTCTCCTTCTCCAGTTCAATTTTCACACTTGGTGTTTTTAAAAAAGGATCCTCAGTGTACCATTGATTGAGAGACTTTATATTTGACTTATCTGGAAATTCCTGAATATTTGTGGTAATCTCTGCTACATCCATCACATTTTGCAGCTCTAAATTGTTTGGAGATACTGGCTTGGATGTGATAGAGATTGGTAGTTCAGTTGCCTTCGAACTAGCAGCTGGTTTTTGAAACAACAGAGGTTTCCACTTCCCTTAAATCAGAAAACGTTTACTAGTATCATAGATTTGCCACTGTTCTTTCCCCATAACACTAATTATTTCTGGCCATTCTCAGAAGCCAGGCAGATGTTCTCATTAAACATGCCTGAATAGAAATAGGAAAGTTCCTCACCTGTGCAGATGACAGAAGCATCTTCATGATGGTTGCAGTTATGCTTCCCCCACGGTTTAGAATGACAGTGCTTTATAATAAACTCTTTCCCTGTGCAGTTGACATCATCCAACCAGATAGGTCCAGATCCTGGTCCATACCGAGCATTGCCTGGACTGAGAAGTGGAGCTCCACAGCCCAACTCACGGCACACAACAGCTGCATCCACCAAATCCCAACCATCATCACACACTGTGCCCCACTGGCCTTTGTACAATACCTCTACCCGTCCAGCACAGGATTCAGGGCCATCTACAAGTCGCAGCTGCTGCTGCCCTGAGGTACAAATAGTAGAAAATAGTTAAACAGAATTAAACATCTTCCATCACAACTGTTGTCTTGAGGAATAGGATTTCCCACTGGTGTATTTATTTACATCAGAAAAAATATGTAGTATTTGAAGCAATGGGGAAAAGATGCTGCCTTGATTGGGGAAGGGAGGATAGGTAGAAATTTGGAGAAAATAAAATATATTCAGTGCTTTATTTATCATGCTTTGGATATAAGTTATTTCCACTTCCCCTGAGGAAACATATCCACATCTTTACTTCATATCTCTAATTAGTAGTCTCTGTTCTTTAGATATACAAGCATATTTGGTTGGAGCCATCTATGAAAATCAAGTATCAGTCTATTTTAACCCATGTTTTCTGGAGTAGTTGAGTGAACACTTTGCAAGTATTTAAGACCAAACTAAATGTGACATGATAGGGCCACCACTGGTTTTCCCATACAGATATACAGGCTCTTCCATACATGATCTGTTTCATGTTTCCCATGAGATAATTTAAAAAATTAAAAATTTCCTAAGAGAATTGATAGCCTCTTTTCACCAACCAGAGACAGATCTAGACAGGGATGCAAACAAAATTGGAAAGACAGTGCAAAATTTATGGTATCCATGAGGACTTGGGCTTGAATTATTGGAGGAACAGAGAGGGCACATTCTGTTTTATTTTTATCTAATTTTCCTAAATTATAAAGACTTACCTAGAATATCAACAGCAGGGGAGGACTGGCCAATATGTTTCAACAGTATAGTTCTGGTGGAAATTCATTTTAAATGTGAATAATAATTCATTGCTTTTCCAGATAAGCCAATAGTTCACTAAATGGACTAAAATAATATTTCCCCATGTTACAAAGCTATTGTCACTGAGCACTACTTATTACTTCAATGTACTATTTTGGGCAGATGGGGCACCTCTTACCCTAAATTGACTGGCTAAAGCAAGTGGTTACCTGGCATGATTGCACAAACTTTATGTTAATGTTGTGGAAATTTGTGGTGAGGAGGAAGGGGGAATGGGTTTATCTCTGTTTAATATCTCTACCTCCCCATCTGACAGAGTTTAAACATGCTTTTTCTTTCTCTTGGGATGTAAAAAAGGATGCCAAATGCATTATATTATAATATTTAAGCCACTTTCTCTCCCCTTTTGCTTTCAGTTACTAACACGTATATAACAAAAATTGCTCCTGAATATTTACTGCAACCTTTCCTAACCTAGTGTTTTCCAACAGGCTGAGACTTTAACTTTGAAGAGTTTCCAAATAGTGTAAACAAAGCCAATATGTTTCTACATATCATTAGATTGGAGAAGGCTGATCTGGGTTTTCATGAAGGCAGTGTTCATCTATTTCTCCTTCCTACTCACCATTTTCAGAAAGACCTTCTTTGGGAATATCCTCTGTGAGTTCTTGATTACTCAAAGTTTCTTCCTGGTTTCTTGTAATCTGACTAGGATGTGGAATTTGATTTGGTGTCACAGACCAGGATTTCTGAGGAGCTACAGTCTTTGTAAGCATGGCTATATGCTCTTCTATCATGGCAAGGGACATCGCACCTGTTGGAAAAAAATGTCAATAAGTGACAAGAGCGTTTTCCACAGTAGTAATTCCACAATTCATGTGGAATATATAGTCTTATATAAATATATTGCCTTTGTAAGGGCTGAATATACAAGTAGCAACTTGAACTAGAAAATTTTATTAGGTTGATATAATGGATTTTCCCCAAAATAATCATGGGAAAAATTGCTAAAATGCTAAGCAATCTTCCTCTATTTCTTATCCTTCACATGTATTAGAACATACCTTTCTGAATTAAATACCATCATAGTCTCTTTAACCATGACTGTGCTAGGATTTTGGGAATTGCTGTCCCAACATCTCTGGAGCGTGCCAGAGTGTAAATGGCAATGTTAGAAATTCCTAGTTCTTTGTCCTATGGTGCTCCCCTCCAAGACCTAGTGTGCAATATGTCCTGGGAAGTGTAAGTAATTGTTATATGTGCCTTGTCATTCTCACCTGAACACACAGCCCCAGCATCTTCACTGTGTCGGCAGTTGTTTGTCCCCCAGGGACTGGTGAAGCAGTCTGCCAACTTTGACTCTTCTCCTTGACATTGCACATCATCCAGCCAGATGACACTGTTCCCCTCACCAAAGAAAGCACCACCTGGTGCTGCCAGAGCCTCTCCACAGTCCAGCTCTCGGCATATGATGGTAACATCCAGAAGGTCCCACATGTCATCACACACTGTCCCCCACTGCCCTTCATGAAATACTTCTAGCCGGCCAGAACACTGATTTTTGCCACCCACAAGTCTTAGGGCATGGTTTTCTGGACAAAAAGAAAAAGGAATTTAAGGCAGACACTGGAAGAGTCCAAAGTATATATGAAGATAGTTTGCCACATATGAAGCTCTAAAAGTAAAGATAATGTCTCCCTTTCATCAAGCTTGAATCTTTCTTACTTCAAGCTTGAAGTCTACATATAAATTTTGAGTAATTTTTCTCTACTTCTGATATTTTATTTTTGTACAAACATGAGGTATGGTACTATCACTCCTTCTTACCTGTCCCAAAATGTTAAATTTACAGATTATTTTAAGTTAAATGATTCAGACCAAAATCAGTTGTATAAAATGGATGCAGGATTTTCCAACCTCCGAGTGACCTTTTATCCTATTTTGTAGGTTGACAATTTCTGTGCAAACAATGGAAGTGTGAATTTTATAAATGTACTCACCCTCATGAGGTGTAGGTAACACAAGTGGGCTTTTGGTTGCTACTGCCTCCATTTTAACTTTCTTGAAAGGTGTATGGGCAGGAATGGCAGTAAAAAGAGGGAAGTGTTGTTCTGTGTGGAGAAAAGTGGGAAGGAACATAGGTTCCATTGCTCCAGAAGGCACATAAAGCTATAAAACTCTGCTCTGCATATATTGATTTATTTAAAACACTTGTACAGCTTCCACATCTTAAAACCAGATTCTTTTCTTCTTCTTCTGTTCAATCATATCTGATTCTGAGAGTCTGCCTGGACAAATTCCTGGAGTTTTCTTGGCAAAGTTTTCAGATATGATTTGCCATTGCCCATGGCTCAGAAAAAGTAACTGGCCCAGGTGATTTGTACCTAAGGTGGGGCTAGAATTTATGGTTTCTAGCCTGATGCCTTAATCACTATGGCTTAGATGGGTTATACCCAACAATAAAAGCTATATATAAAACTAAAACAAAAATCATACCGCCATCCCCACCCCCATCCCAGAAGAAGAAACAGTAATGGCCACTTTGATTTCTCCTCATTCCAGTACACGAGGGAAGAGCCAGGTCTTAAAGTGAAAATTAAAAAGGTCTCCAGGGGGAGGCATTTCATAGAGCAAGGCATGCTTTTGAGGACCACAAGGTGACTGTACTTAAGGAGAGACAGTCCTGCAGATTTTTCTTGGAAACAGTAATGGGTATTTGAGGGGGTAAGCTTGCATTCAATTCTTTACATTAAGCCACACTTAGAGAAAGCTCAACTTTGAAAAAGGATTTAAACAGTTATTTATTAGTTAAGTTTCAAGGTGAGGACAGAGGAAGAGGTGAACTTCTCCATTAAATTAGATATCAGAAAAGTCCCTATATGAAAGCTTATAGTGGAAAGACTCCTTTTGTCCCCAACAAGCTTTTGTTATAACTTAAACATTTGTCTTTGTTTTTCAAATACTGATGTAACCTTGAAACAGCAATTGAAACAGCTACTCTAAATAAGACTGCTTAGAGGGAATCTCTGTGTGATAATCAATTCACCTTTTATAGTCAGGTATGTGAAGAAGCAAACATTTGAACTTCTGTAAAGAAAGTGTAAAAATATCTGTAGTATAAAGAACTGACATACAGTTGTTATTTATGTAGGATATGGAAAATGTTTCCTGTGTCTAAACAGTTGGATCTGGAACAGAAGTTGGTTTTAAAGAAATATGATGAAAGTTCTTATTGCTTCATAGAATACTCTCAGTTTTTCAGGGTGGGATTCAGATAATGGTGAGAATTGTGTTGAGTTATTGTTAGTTGGGCAATTTTCTAGATTAAAAATATAACTAAATATGCTTTGTACTTGCTCCCTGTTTTATGGATAGGTTTCAATCATAATATTGATTTTCACATTTAATAATTATTTAATACAATAAAACTGATAATCACAGTTTATTAAAACCACAATCCTACCTAAAATGGCAGGGCAATTACTTTATACAAGCAGAAAGTAAACTCCACACTTGCTCACACCAATGATGTTATCTAGTTGGGTAATGAAACATCTGCCAGCAAACAATCAAGTTCAGAGAACACCAAGAACTCCACAATAAATTACTTCTAATCTTCTTAAACAAGCATCTTGTGAAAACAGTTGGGAGTAACAAGAGCCCTACCTGAGCAGATGGCACTGGCATCTTCCTCATGGGTGCAGATATGCTTGCGAAAGCCACGATGATGGCAGGAAAGCAGATGCCTCTCAGTACCCACACAATGTACTTCATTGAGCCAGATAGAACCAACTCCTTCACCAAACCAGGCTCCATGAGGTGCTGAAAGGGCTTCCCCACAATTTAGTTCTCGGCACACAACAGCAGCATCACGCAGATCCCAATCATCATCACATACTGTCCCCCATTCACCTTTGTGGAGAACCTCCAGCCGTCCCACACAAAAGTTAGGACCTCCAGATAAACGTATCCGTAAAGCGCCTGGAGAGAGGGGGAGGGGGAAAGGGAGGGAGGGAGAGAGAGAGAAAGAGAGAGAGAGATCCACAGGGACACACAATGTTGTTTTCTCTCTTCAATTTAAACAAGATACCCCGAATACACAACTTTTCCACAACCTTGAAATCTTTTCTCTTGAACTTATATAAACCAGTTTTTATCATTTTAGTTGCTTTACATGATTTCAATCCCAGAACTAATAGATAAAAGCAATTATTTCTGTAAAAGAACACATGTAAAAAAAACACATATTACAAGCTGGTAATAAAAATAATAATAATAAAATGATAATTTGTGATGTTGCTATTCTTATACAACATCATGGAGAACATGGTATAAAAATACAAATCATGCTCTATATTTCATTGCATAAGTCAACCCATTATTTGATTGTTCATCCTGGAAGCATTCTGACAGAGTACAACATACAGTGAACTAGTCTGGTCCACTCTGATATTTAAAATATAAGTCAAGGAAGTGCAACAAAAGTGGATCTTGTTCCATTACTACAAACAAATTTGGTGATTTTTCTGGGGCTTTCCCAAGTAATATGCTGTATTACTGAATATTCTGAGACTCCTTTGAATTTGCTGATATTGCCCTCTTGTGGATGGCACCAATGTAACAGCATAAATATCCATATTTGGAAAAATAGCTTGAATAAAAATATGGTGATGAATATAGATTATAGATCATCAATCTCAATTTGATCAGGGCAAATAGAGAGGTAGATAAGTTTTAACTGGTTTTACCTGTGACATGAAGTTTCAAGAAGACAACTGCAAAAACAAAGCAAGCCAGTACTCCTTACATTCTGGATTTTATTTAAATGAATGAAATATTTTCAAGCCCAAACATTCAGAAAGAAGTTCTATTTTAGAAATACAGAAACAGTTGCAAATAACATCAAAGGAAATCAGGCTCTTTCAAGTCAAGCTCATGTAGTGACTTTATTGATACGCTTATACAATATTTTTGGCAAGAGCATGGAAGTTGTATGCCATTGTTACTCCACATTTTTCAGCTTGCAACCCTAGATTATAGCTTTGGTATACATAAATATTATAAATAATATTATAATTTCCAAGACAGCATATTCTAAGACAATTTATGCTTCTCTGGTTTTGATTTAATTTGTACATTTTAAGGCACAGCTTGCTTAATAGTGGCTTATTGAATAAACCTTAGTATCTGTCTATAAGACACAATGGCTGAGTTTACAACTCTAAGTCATAATACTGAATTTGCTTGATCTGGTATCAAATGTGAATCCAGACAATAGTTCTTTTTTCTGTCTTAGCTTGTTGTTAATAATTTTTTTCCTCACAAACTTTGCCATCATCAATATCTAAGTATTTGGCACTTTATACTAAACAAGTCTGATTTCCAGGAAATTATTCTGCATAAAAACATACAATATATTAGGACACATTGGAAACTTCATGGTGTTGTCTTCTGATAATTTTATCAGTTCATGAAATAACTAGGGCTTATGCAGATAAGGAATCTATCTTAGGTAACGGTAATATGGTTGACATTGGATCAGGCCATTTGATATTTTTTTGTTCATTGCATAAATTGAGTTGCCAATACCGAGGTTAAGATATAACTAATATTCTATGGAGCTTCTATATGTGGAAACAGAAAATATGTCCCTTTTGTTTCAGGGAGAATTATCCTAGGCCAGTCCTGGATCTAGTCTAGTTCCCAGAGTTTGTTTTTTTCCTGGGTCATCTCAAAGTCTGGCTTACAATAAATATATCAATTGCAAAACAGACCTTTCATTTAATGACTGACAATCAAATAGTCCAGTTCAGCATGTTCTTCATATTTTCTTCACCATTCCAAATATAAATTCACAATACAATGGTTTTCTTAGTTATGTCTCTGCAGATCTAGTACTCTTAGTTAAACCAATTTCAATTCTAGCCACTGTCAATCATAGTTCTATCACATTAATCCTGCAAAATAAGCTGACTTAGAACTTGAAGCAGTCAACTTGACATATCCAGGCATGATAATGAAGAATACTTTCTGAAATATCAGCACAAAATGGAATCAGAAAAAAGAATATAGGTGGTCCTTACAACTGGTTGTTTAGTGACCATTTCATGTTACAATGGATTCCCCAAAAGTACTTACAAACTAGATTTGAAGTTCTGATAGCTCCCCCCCCCCATGGACACAGGACCACATTTGGTGTGTTCAGTGATAGGCCAACATTTATAGCCATTTGCAATGTCCCACGGTCCTATGGATGTAATTTACATTTTACAAAAAATCGGTCTTTACTTTCAGTTTTTGGCAAAAACATCCATTATGGAAAAAATGGGATTCATTTAACAAATACATATTCATTTAATGATCAATATGATTCACTTAACCACTGCAAAATTGGTAATAAAATCAGATGGTCATGCAAGAACCCAATTTATGGCCATCACGACTTATGACGATAACAGGCAAACTCCATTATGACAGTAAGTTGAAAACTTCCTGTAAAGCTTTATTGTCTCAACAGATGAGACAGATCTGCAAAAACTAATTGTTGTCCTTTCCCAAATAGAAGTTTTAAGATGAACAGACATTTTAAAAAGAAAAAGCAGCACAACTGTCTACATATGTATGTTCTCCTTTATGTACAGGTAATCCTCAACTTAAACCATTCATTTAGTGACCATTTGAAGTTACAATGGCAATAAAAATGACTTATGGCTGTTTTCACACTTACAACCATTGCAGCATCTCTGTGATCCCCTGATCAAAATTCAGATGCTTGGCAACTGGAATGTATTTATGATGGCTACAGTGTCCCAGGGTCATCTTTGCAACCTTTTCACATGCAAAGTCAATGGGGAAGCCAGATTCATTTAACAGATATGCTACTAATTTAATAATTGCAGTGATTCAATTAACAACTCTTGCAAGAAAAAATGTAAAATGGGACAAAATTCACTTAACAATGTTCTTACTTAGCAACAGAAATTTTGGGCTCAATTGGGATTGTAAATCAAGGATTACCTGTAATTTTTGGAACAAGTACATAATGGATTTCTGCCCATGTTTTGCTATCTGAGGAGATGGCAGGAATGTTTTTATTAAAAATTACTTAGGTACCTGTGAGTTCTTAACATTTTAATCCTTTTCTCTGGATTTCTCGAATCAAAATTGCAGGGAGGGGATATATTTATGCATGAATAACTAGATGGACCAAAAAATATTTTTACTTCCATCCTCTCATCATATAACCTGCTTTCTAAACTGTTGCAAAATAACTTTAAACTACATTAAGTACAGCCAAGCCTATTAAGAGTGCTGATCTCTGGTGATCTATGTTTAAAATAAATCAGAATCAGTTTATTAAAACTCATTAACCTCACAAACCTGAAGCAGTTATTATAGACTAAATAAACACAAAAAAATAGGGTAGCAGCCATAAAGCAAGCACTACTCACCCAGAAAGGACAAGGAGGACTGCATGATGTCAATGGCAGGATCAGTGAGTTGCCTGATTGCAAAGGCAAATCAGAAGCAATAAAGACAGAAGACCCAGGCTGTGAGTCAGCCAGGCAGAAAGGAAAGTAGGAAACACCCCTGCTTTGCCCTGGGTCATGTAACTTCCAATCTGCAGCCTGGGAAGAAAAGAACCAGGCCAAGGAGGAGAAATTCCCACAAGACTAAGCCAGGTGTGAGAGTCATATCTGAGATATTTCTCTAAAACTTTTCAAGAGAGCCACTTAAGAGAGACCTTAGCTAGATTGTTGTATATGTCAAAGGAAAACTTTAAAATTCATATTGATTATGCAGCAATTATACTAATGTATCTAGTTTGCTCCTTTCAAACTTTTTAAAATCATCATTTTTCCTGAAACACAGCTTCTAATTCATTTATACATGTGAATCCTGGCCAGAAATAGACACAATCTTTCCACGATGTCTTCTCATTATTTATCACAGCATTTGTGTTTTTAACCGTGGGACATAATGCTTTTTCCATGCAGTGTTCCGGAGTCATGTAATTTCCATTTGCATCCTTCCAAGCCAGTTTTTGACAAGTAAAGTCAATGGGGAAGCCAGCAGGGAAAGTTGTAAACTGCAATTATGCAATGTCTCATTTAATTATATTATTTAATGATGAATTTTTCAGTCTCAATTGTAGTCATTAGTCTAGGATTATCTGTACATTTTTTCTATACTTTTTTTATTTTAACTCAATTTTTTTATTTAATGATTGGTTTCATAATGTTTGTCTCTTATAAGGAGCCCTAGTGGTCCAATGGTTAGAATGCAATATTGCAGGCTAACTCTGCCCACAGTCTAGATTTTGATCTTGATGGGCTTGAAGTTGACTCAGCCTTCTATCCTTCTCAGGTCAGTAAAATAAAGACCCAGATTAGTAGGAGCAATATGCTGACATTGTAAACTGCTCAGAGTGTAAAACTCTATGGAACAGTATATAAGCCTAAAGGCTATTGCTATTTTATAAAGTTGTGCTTCTTTTAAACTGTATTTTTTATTATGGCATATACAATACACCATCAAGGGCTTCTTTATGAAGGGAAGGTTATTTAATATATAGAACAGGATACTCGCAAGGTAGTGTACCAAGATCAAACTGTATATGACACAAACAACCCATGATAAGTACCTAATAACTAATGATAAATTATTTTTTCCTCATAAGTTAAACAAGTAGGAAGTACAGACTGAGTTCAGTTAAGAATTAAAATTAATTTTCCTCCTTTTTTTCATACAGATTGATGGGAGAGGTGGCTGGACAGTTATCCGATCTATTATGTCCATGTAAAATGGCTTTCATAATCTAATTTTATAACTATTAACCATTGAGCATCTAGGAATTTCCTTAACTTGCCCACCTTTAAAATGAGTACATACAGATGTTGAAAATTAAACAATCTCTTTGCACTTTTCACCTCTATGGCAAATGGGAAGGTTCCTCAAACAATTCCTATCTCTGTCCATCACCTGGCCTATTATTATTATTACCTATAGTTAAGAGACAAAGGAACTGTCTCTCTCTCTCCAACACATAATTTAAAAGTGAGATCAACATATTTCTTAGTAAATCTACATTTTAATTCAAACATAACAAATGCCTGTTAATTGGGTTAAGTATATCCTCTATATCCAAAATAACTATATTAGCATCATTTTTCTTTTTGAATGGGACCTACTTGATTTAATTACTTGGTATTCTTTAGCAGTGTGCATATGCTCAGGAGCACATTCTCTTACAAAATTTCTGCTGAATTCGAATCTCCAATAGTGAATAGTGAATTTCTCATTCAGCTGAACTAGAACTATCTTGAGGCCAAGATATTTTCCCAAAAGGTAGATTATGACCAAGAGTATGAAAGTTTTTAAAGCACTCAATGGATATTGGGGCCGTTGGTGATGCCCTTAATAATGTTTTGGATCCAAACTCTTAACTCTGCTGCACTACATGAAGGCTGATGCACCACCCCCACTAGCAAAGCTTAAGCCAAAATTATCCAAAGAGAAAGGAAATAAGACAAGACATCCTGAGAATAATAAAGCAGCTTTTATGTTCTTTCATCTGGAAAAAAGTAGAACAGGATGGGATTTGGGGAATGAAATAGTGAAGGTATTTACTTAAAACAATATATATATTTATTTATTTAAAACAATATATATGTATACACACACACACTTTGATGGAGACAGGGGATCCCTCTCTCTCTCTTTCTCTCTCTCTCTCTCTCTCTCACACACACACACACTTTCCTCTCTAAAATCTATATTTTCTCCAATTTGCAGTATACAGATGAAATGTCCAGCAATCAAAACAATTGCAGAATTCTAGCACAATAGCTGGTAGCCATGGTAATGGAGAATTATATACTGTTGCTAGGCTCTTTCAGCATTGTGTTGGTGATCACAGACATGGGTTCTCAAAACACTTAAAAATTTAAGCTTGCCCCTTTGAACCTTGTTGTTAAAGGTCAAGTTTCAACTGCAGGTCATATGAGGTAAGTGTTTCTGGATAAAACAGAAAGCTTTTGCAGTACTAGGCAATCGGAGCCAAAATTGTACATCATTCACCATTAGGAATAGCTGCCAAGCCAGAGAGAATGCCTTCTTAATAAACAAAACCGCCTTGGTTTAATCTTTTCAAGTCTAAGAGACTTGATGATTTTTATCTGATTATATTGCAGATAACCCTGAAAAGGCTTAATGTCTCTCAATGAAAGTTATAATTATTTTTGAAATCTAGTTTCTACTCCAATGTCAACCTACAAGGATCTAAAAAGAAGCTAGCTGAATTAAAACAATCATTACCATCATTATCAGGATTTCTCCCTCTAGTTGATCATGACACAAAGACAGAGAACTGTGTTCTCCAAATGGTCGTGGCTGAAGGAAATTCATATTCTTCCATTTCCCATTCTTCCATTAGCAGAATATTTGTTTCTCACACACCTAATTTGGGAACTTGACCCTAATCACATTAACATAGTCCATATTTTGTGTAGTAATAACCCACACATTAAATAGCTCTGCCCTATATTCAGTTCTATTTGGACAACCATTTTATATATCTTTTCAGTTTACTTTTCTTTCTTCGGAAAAAAAAACAAAACCTCTTTCCCACAAGCATACTTATGATGGGCATGGTCATTTCTGTTCTATCAATCATCCTTTTCAACCAGAAGCCTTATTCAATGGAGACTATAAAATTCATTAAATGATGCAATCATTAAGCAAAACATCATATAACCAAACCTGATTTTATTTTTTATTTTTTTGCTGCAGTCTTTAATCAAATCACAATAGTTGTTAAGCAAGAGATGTAACTCTGATTTATTACCTTTCCTGCTGGCTTCCCCGCTGACTCTTTTGGAAGCTGGGAAGGTCACCAATAGTGATCATGTGACCATGAAATGAATGCTGTAACCATTAAAAATGTGATGATTGCCAAATGCCCAACTCATGATCACATGAATCCAGGGATGTTGCAGTGGCTGTAAGTGCAAAGACTAGTTGTCAGTTTTTCTTCACTGACATAAACTTGAATGATTGTTAAATGAAGTCGTTAAGTCAAGAACTACCTTGTACTAGAAAACAGCAAAACACGAGGGAGGGGGATGTTCCATGACAATTCTAGAATGCTTGATGACTCTGCTGTGTATAGAACAGCAGTTCTCAACCTATGGGTTGCAACCCCATTTGGGGTCGATCGACCATTTCATGGGGGTCGCCAAGCAAGGCTGTCCGCCATTTTTTTCCCCTTTTCTGGCGGGTGCCTTACCTCCCTTGGGCTGGGCCAGCTGGTGGCCCAGCCGGTGATCGGCCTGCTCCATCTCTGCCGCTTGCCAGCTATGCCTCGGCCGGCACAGGGGGCGGCACCACACATGCACGACGCTCCCGGGCAGGGAAAGTCCTCAACTTACGACCGGTTGGGTAGTCGTTGACTTACGACCGGTTTAGTCCTTGACTTACGACCGGTTGGGGGTCGCGGCATTAAAAAGATTGAGAACCACTGGTATAGAAGCAAAATTTGGCATGGGATATTCACAAACTACATTACTGTTAGGGCTTGAAGAGAAAGATGTTAACTCTTTAGACTTTCATAGCTTAATCAGCTTTGCCTCAGAATCCAATCTCTATTTATCATTTAAGATTTTTGTTTGTGCTTGATCCTGAATCAGTATATCAGCAAGTAATGTGTCTCAATTTGTAAGAAGTAACCCTCAGTAATTCATAATCAGTTCTGCAACATTAAACCTGATTTTTATTTACATCTATCAAAAATAGACAAGCCTTTTCAAAAATAGTTAGGTCAGCATTGCAAAGATAGTGGATCAGATTAAAACAGACTAGATAGAATGAGAAATAATGAAAATAGAAAATTTCAGTTGTTCATAACTCCCGTTTGGATTTATGGGGTGGGAGTTGGGGACTAGTGAGAGTTAAGAGTTTATTAATATTTTTAAAAGGCAAAATTCCATCTCCACAAAATAGATTCCAAAGAGCATCTAGTCAGAGCATAAAGGGAAAACCACAGAGCTACATATATAGAAATATTGTCTAGTATACTTATACCTGACCTTTGTCTGTTGGTCTCTGTAGTGTTTCCTAACATGATGAATAGGTTTGATTTTTTTCTCGTATTACAAAAAATAAATTGCCATCCCTGAAATCACTACTGTAATAAAGGCAGAACATGTCAGTTCCAACAATCTTAACTCAGCTTCCAATAACGTGGCTGTCACACAGATATAACACATCTCTGCACATTGTGTTCCTAATGACTGGATACTTCAAATTAAAAGTCATCACCTCCATTCTCAGTCACAATATTTCACTGAGTGTGTATGTATACACATACATAAATCAGAGAACCAGTTTGATCCGGTGGTTAAAGCTCCAGATTAGAAACCAGGAAACTGTGAATTCTAGTTTTGCCTTAGGCATGAAAGCTGGCCTAGTGACTTTGAACCAGTCACTCCCCCTTAGCCCATGATGTTAGGCTCAGGAGGCAAGCTAGTTAGTCAATTCCTGTTGAAACCAACAGATCAATATTTGGTTGATCAGAAAAACGCAGATTTTGCACCTGAAGGAAAAAATCTAGCAAGTAAAAAGAAAACGTATATACAAAGCATTTTTGTTGATTATACAAAATTTCCATTCCATTGAATTCTTTTGCAATGTTCATCTAATGAGTTTGGAAATCTAGTTAAGCATGATAGAAGTTGGGTATAGAACAATGATTCACTCATATTTTTGAATATTTTTGCCTAAGATATCTGAAGGAAGATACATTTGTGAATCAGACTATAACCAAGGATTTCTAAAATCAGCTTCCTGCCTGGACTAATAGAGTCCTAAATAGGTTGCTAGTCAACCCAGCTTGATAGAAAAATGACACCATAGAAACCAGTGAGTCTCGGTTGTTTGCTAATTTGGACACTGAACTATGTTATATGCACATGAATGCCAGAAGATTTAATAGCTCATCCTAAGAAAAATCAGCTTTTAAAGATTCAAATGTGTTTTTTCTTAATCCTTTTTGTGTCTGATACTTTGCTCCTTGTCCATCTACATTTCTACCCATAAAATTCCACTCACCTGATTATCTTCAAAAGACACCAGATGAAGTAGGGATATGCAACATGAATTAAATACATATACTTAACAAATATCATTTTTAAAAAATGACCTCAAGCCAGTTTTTATTGTCTCCAAATTCGGTGAAAACTCAATTATACGAACAACATATATGATTTAAACTACTTTCCATGACAGGAGCATACTTCTATGCACTTGGATTCATGATTTCCAATGATGCTATCCAAATCCTCATCCTATAGTAGTTCTTAAGGTTTTATGTGTACAATTTAAACTAATCTGAATTACAAGACTCATGTTCAATTTTCCCAATATAGCTGACATATATTTTATTAGAATGCATATTGTAAAAGAACTTCTGAAATCTCATTTTAAAAACGTGTTTTCTCCTTTCTTAAACCAATTTTACTGAATTTATAAAATAAAAGTGAAACTTTAATTTATTAGAGAGTGCACCACTGAATTTCTTTGCCCCTAAGAACTAGGGTCAGAGAATATACCCCAACCTAGGCATGCAAGTACAGATTTAGAAAATTTGTCCATAAACCCATGATCAGCTGATAGAAGTGAAGGAATCAATTTAAAATACATTAATCAGCAAATGCAAATGACTGGATCTGTCCAGGCTGTATGGCATCAAGGGACTACAAAATGCTGAACATATTTCTTTAACTCATTAAAGAAACCGGTTAGCTGCTAGGAATTCACTATCCTGATCATTAATTTGCAAAGAAAATACATAATAATCAGATAAAAATTAGACATGCTTTATGCGTTCAGACTGGTTTGTGGGTGAAATATGAATTTGGCATTCTCAGTAAATTCCTCATCTGTGCATTCTGAATGGCTATTTGAACAATAATAATTTTCAAATTACCTTCTGTTATATGAAGTGCATGCATGGAAAAGTATATATATATATAAAGGTTATTCCAAGTATCAGGCCCTATAAGTCAATCTCTATGTATGTTTCAGTCCCCACCCCCCCACCCCGGGGCCAAGAAAATGTTACTGTGTTTAGTAGTGTTCAAAAGTCATGTATCAAACAAGTAAGAAAGGGTTTAGAAAAAAGAGCAACCAAGTTGAAAAATCAATGTAATTTATGTAATAGTCTAGAAGGCCTGACTTTTGGTATATCCTCTGGGTTTGTGTGTATTATGTTTGTGTGTGTACGTGTGTGTGTGTATACACACACACAAATTTTCTCAGTCAATTGAATTTGCTGTTCCTTTTGTATAAAATGTGAAGTTACTCTGACCCCAAAAGAGGACACAGGAAATGAGCTTCAGTGAATAATGTGGAACAGAAATCCCAAATGACAGAGTTTGATTGCTATACCAGACTGTGAAGAAAACACAAACAATCCTTTATCCTGATTTGCTTTGTAGTCATACTTCGTTTTCTAAGCAGAAACTATGTTAATAGTAACTACTGCTTAGGACCTAGAGATACCTCATTAACTACAGTCTGTTTCTGAAACTCCGTGTTTTCTTTGTTCAAAAACATGCTCCCTTGCCTAACAGCTTGGTGCCAGACTAGTAGATACAGTTCTAAAGCTCCTTGCTGAACTCTTGTTGAACAGTGTAACCCAACCACAGGCGCCCACCACTCACACTATAACCAGTATTCTCAAAGAGACCAATAGCAGCTTTAGCCACCACGGAGACCTGGGCCACCAGGAATCTGAAGCCCTGTGCACGAGCTTGTGCCTCTAGAAAATGAAGGAGGCACCGACCCACCCCAGAGCGCCGGTACCATCGGCTGACAGCCAAGCGCTTGAGTTCAGCAGTGTGTGGCTCTCTATCAAGAGGCTCCAAAGCCACACAACCACACACATCATCATCATCATAAACAGCCACCCACAGCCCACGATGGCTTGCACTGTAATAGGCATGCAAATGTTTAAGGTCTGGTGAACGCCACAGTAGAAGTTTCAGAGCCACTACAGTGAGGAGTACTGGCAGCACAAGGGCCACCACAAAGGAGTTCAGGAAGAAGCGTAGTCCACTGCTCACAACTGCCATCAGTAACAAGGCTAGTGGCCGTGTCAGCACATAAAGTATCAAGCGGTTTTCTGTATCTTTGAATCCATCCTGATAGGAGAGAAATAGAAGAACATTAAAAAGTCCTCAGAGTTTAGAGGAACCCAAATGCCAGAGAAGTTATCAGGCATACATAACTGTCTCTTAACACATCTCAGAAGGCCATTGTACTCTTACCTGGCCCTACTCAAAATCAGCCAGTGAGCTTTACCATGGAGTAATAATATTCTTGGTTCTATCCTAGCATTCAAAGCGACTTGATCATATTGTCACAAATCATATTCCACTAATTAAAATCACACTTATTACTTCCATGTTACAAGAACAAGTCAAAAGCAACAGGCATATCTTTTAGGAAAACTTTTATGCTGTTAAACTTTGTACCTGAAAAATTCCAGAAAATATTCTGGACAGATTTGGGACTCTCCAAGACTAGACCCAAAAATACAATTAGAAACTTCTCAACAGAAAAGCAGGAGTACTGATATAGCTGGATCCCTGTTTCTCCTCCATCTCACCTTCAAAAGTTCCAAAACAATGGGGGCTTCATCCTCTCTCATTTCCCTGATTAATAGCTGTTCCGGGTCCAAGGTAGGCATATTGTTAGCAACTGATACCTAAAAGGAAGAAAAGTTCAAATGTTGACTGAAAAATAATTTCAGACTACAGTGGGAGAGAACTTTTGCTTAAATGGGGAAATAAATGCTCCACAAAACTCCAAGAGAAGGCAAACTCTGACTCTTTCATAAAAAGTGCTCAACCACCACCCCATCACCTCCACCATATAAAATAAATAGAGTTTGGTAAATATTCATAAGCAGGGAATGTCTCTTCACATCTTTGTAATCATTCCTCCTCCCCATATTCTTCACATATGTTTAAACTACAGTGCAGAGCCTTCTTTAAATTATGAGCAAAATTGTGATAAGTATCACCCCGAAACAGGTGATATCTAACAGGAAAAAAGAAAAATTATTGCAAACTATTTTATTATAAAAACACAGGTAGAGACTGATATCACATAGGGCTAAACCACAGATTGTTGAATACAGCACACTAGATGGATGCCCAACTGCACTTTAAGCTAAATTAGTATGATGCACGAATCCCTAAGAAATACTGGTTAGCTCTGGGCCATCTGCTCTTTTTCTGGCTTCGTTTTTCTCTTTTGTTATACAGGGTCCCTAACTTCAAAGAATTATTCTGAAAGGGATTATTGAGAAAATGATGAGTTTTAGTGCTTTATATCTACTGCAAATATGCTTTTTCCTTAGAGTGAATTCACGTAGCTTTATTAGATGCAAACGAGCAATAAAATTTTCCTCATAAAATTACAAGAAAATCGCAACACCTGTATTTTGGCTAGTCCTTCCCTTTCATAAGAGGGCCAAAGCAGCCACGCCCCCTCCGCAAAAATAAAAGCACCTTTTCTTTTAGCATACTCACTATTGTTGAACCTTTCACGATCTCCCCTCCGTTCCCAATGGACTCACCCAGTTTGCAGACTACGGCTGACTTCTCCCCCTGCAGAGAGGCGCATGGGATATCCCAGTAACAGTTACATTCTCCACTCCTCCTCCCAGAAGCACGGGAGGGGTGGGTAGGTAACAGTCCTGACCCAAAGGCCCGCTAATTCAATCGTTCTCTTTCCAGACTCGGCGCTTCACTGAATATGCGCATGCGCTATATTCTTTCTTCTGCGACCCCTATCCCTTCTTACGCAGCCCTTAGTTACTGTTACTAGGCGGGACCAATGTGGTCTCTTGAGTATGCCAAGACCGTCAAACCGGAGTTGTAAAGATGTCCGAGTCCTTTCCTTCCTTGATCTTTTTCAGGAGAAAAGGGAAACCTAGGAAATAGGGAATGACTAACCTCCTTTTTCTATATTGTATAACAAAGAACTATCGGATGCATAAATCCTGGCAGGCAGGAATTCAACAGATAAAACTATACACAAATACTGGCAGACAAATTCAACAGGTAAATCTATACATAGAAAAGTATACATTAACCCTTTGCCTACCTGTATGTTATGGCAGTATTAAGAAACGTTATCCTTAATCCCAAGGAGCCTACGTTTTTCACACATGGTGGAGGCAAAAGGCTTTGGGTTTAAGATTATATAGGATTTTTTTGCCTAAGCATGCAAATTACATTCATAAACTACACACACACACACACACACACACACACACGTTCTAATCTGCATATATCCTGAGGAATGGCAGTGGCAATCCATTTCCATATCATGGCAAGCAGAGTATCTAGATTCAGTTATATGTGTCACCAATAGTTTAGTTTGACTTAAAAATGGATTTTATACATGTTAAAATTTTACCTTCCCCCTGTCTCTGAATATAGTTGGCTCCACATTTAAATATTGATTTATACAATAGGTTTATAGAGCCCCAGCTTTGAAATCTTTGGAAGCCACAAAAATTCACTATGTGGCTGAGCCAGTAATTTTGAGTTCAATCAACCTCAAGATTCAGCTATGGGATAAAATGAAGGGCTTACTCATCTAAACCACCTTAAATTCTTCAAACAGGATAAAATAAATACAAACAAAATGTATACCAATTTGGAGTAATGGTGCAGGCAGTAAGCTTCTTTGCATCCAGCTGGTTAATGTTAAATGGGGTCCTGAAAAAGAAAATCAATGCTATTTTGAAAATATTGTATGGTTTAAAAGCTGTTGCTGAAAATAAAAGACAGGTTCCAGTACCAAACCGATGTATAATTAATTAATTTGTGCTTCATTATACAATATGCAAATTACTTGTTGAAAATATTGAGTAATTTATTTTCAGTATCCATTGTATGTGGTACATAGGTGGTCTGAATGCACCCGCCTATGATGAGAAAAAATACTGAATACATGATGTGTTAAATTTATGTACAGCTATTCATTGTGCCGCAATGGTAACATAAGTAGCAACTATTGTAGCAAAACTGATAAATAAGTTCTCTGATAAATAAGTTACTAAATTACTAAACCTTACATGTACCTTTGAAACCCTTTTATCACATTAATCTATACTGCAGGGACATTTAAATGCATACCTAATGCCCCAAACCTCATTAGGCAGAAATTTTGGCTTACATTGATTTTGAGATTAAGTACAGGAGGACAGAGGACTGGTTCTATACATTGTCAAAGGTCTGGGCTATTGTTCTTACAACAGTTCATTTTCCAGTTGTCTTCTGTTTAACACATAATAATAATAAAATTTGAAGGAACCTTGGGGGTCATCTAATCCAGGGCTTTTCAACCTTTTCACCCATTGTACCACTTTTAGGATATGGCAATATCCGAGTACCACCAGTCGCCTAGCAAGATGTCAAAAACTTGATGACCAAAAAAAAAAAAAAAAGGAATAAAGTGATAAAGTACAGGTAGTCCTCGACTTACAACAGTTTGTTTAGTGACTGTTTGAAGTTACAATGGCACTGAAAAAAGTGTCCCCCAAGCCACAGCCAAGCAAGACACCTGCCTGCCCGCCCGGTGGCGTTCTTCCTCCTGTCCGAGGTTTTCATTGTTGTGAGCATTTCTGTTGAGGTTTAGCAGTGGGGGTGGGGTGGGAGTGTGTTTGGTTTTTAGTCCGCCCATCTGCTGGGTGGTTGCAACAGGTTTTGGTCACTTCACATGACCCTGGGACACTGTGACTGCCATAAATATGAATCAGTTGCCAAGCATCTGAATGTAAATCACAAGACCCTGGAGATGCTGCAACATTCCAGCTGATCTGTACTTCTCCTGGGCTCAGCAGAAGTGCCAGGATCAGTGGTGCTTTCCAGCTGATTGGTGCTTCTTCAGGGTTCAGCAGAAGCACCAGGATCAGCGCCGAGCTCCAGCTGGAGCCTGGCGCTGATCCTGGTGTTTCCACTGAGCCCTGACAGCCCCAAAGAAGCGCCGATCAGCTGGAAAGCAGCACTGATCCTGGCACTTCCACTGAGCCCTGACAGCCCTGCAGCTTCAGCCATCTCTCGCTCAGGCTTGTGTGGTGCTGCCACTTGTTCAGCTCATTCCCCTCCCCCGCTACTTTTCTAGGATGGTTGCGTACCATCTGCCAGGTGCCAATGTACCACAGGTGGTATCCATACCACTGGTTGAAAAGCCCTGATCTAATCCAACCTCCTCTCAGGCAGGAAACTCTATACCAGAGGGGTCAAACTGCTGGCCCATGGGCCGGACGCGTCACTTGGAAGCTGCACCTACCCCATTGCTGGCAATGGCAAAATCGTCCCAATATGTTGTGTGACATCAGGTGACATTGCAAGTTTGACATGTCTCCTCTATACCAATTCAGACAAATGGCTGTTCAGTCTCTTCTTAAAAACTTCCAGTGTTGGAGCATTCACAACTTCTGGAGGCAGCTTGTTCCACTGATTAATTGTTCTCCTTAGTTCTAGGTTGCTTCTCCCTTTGGTTACTTTCCATCCATTACTTCTTGACCTGTCTTCAGGTGTTTTGGAGAATAACTTGACTCCCTCTTTGTGGCAGTCCCTGAGATATTGGAACACTGCTATCATGTCACTCTTCATCCTTCTCTTCATTAAACTAGACATACCCAATTTCAGCAACCGTTCCTTATGTTTTAGCCTCCAGTCCCCTAATCATCTTTGTTGCTCTTCTCTGTACTCTTTCTAGAGTCTCAACATCTTTTTTACATCATGGTGACCAAAACTGGATGCAGTATTCCAAGTGTGGCCTTACCAAAGCATTATAAAGTGGTATTAACGCTTCACGTGATCTTGATTCTATCCCCCTGTTAATGCAGCCTAACACTGTTGGATTTTTTGGCAGCTGCAGCACACTGCTGGCTCATATTTAAGTGATTGTCCACTAGGAATCCGAGATCCCTCTCAAAGTTACTACTATTGAGCAAGGTACCACCTATACAATACCTGTACATTTGGTTTTTCTTGCCTAAATGTGGAACCTTCCTTTTTTCATCATTGAATTTCATTTTGTTAGATAGCACCCAATGTTCAAGTCTGTCAAGATTATGATGATGATGATGATGATGATGATGATGATGATGATAATAATAATAATAATAATAATAATAATAATAATAATAATAATAATAATGTTGAAAGGGACCTTGGAGGTCATCTAGTCCAACCCCCTGCTGAGGCAGGAACCCTACACCATTCCAGACAAATGGTTGTCCAGTATCTTCTTAAAAACTTCCAGTGTTGGAGCATTCACTGCTTCTGGAGGCAGGTTGTTCCATTGGTTAATTGTTCTAACTGTCAGGACGTTTCTCCTTAGTTCTAAGTTGCTTCTCTCCTTGATCAGTTTCCACCCGTTGCTTCTTGTCCTGCCTTCAGCGCTTTGGAGAATAGCTTGACTCCCTCTTCTTTGTGGCAGCCTCTGAGATATTGGAACTCTGCTATCATGTCCCCCCTCATCCTTCTCTTCGTTAAACTAGACAAACCCAATTCCAGCAGCCGTTCCTTATATGTTTTAGCCTCCAGTCCCCTAATCATCTTTGTTGCTCTTCTCTGTACTCTTTCTAGAGTCTCAGCATCTTTTTTACATCATGGTGACCAAAACTGGATGCAGTATTCCAAATGTGGCCTTACCAAGGCATTGTAAAGTGGTATTAATACTTCACGTGATCTTGATTCTATCCCTCTGTTAATGCAGCCAAGCACTGTGTTGGCTTTTTTGGCAGCTGCAGCACACTGCTGGCTCATATTTAAGTGATTATCTACTAGGACTCCAAGATCCCTCTCAAAGTTACTATTATTGAGCAAGGTACCCCCTATACTATACCTGTACATTTGGTTTTTCTTGCCTAAATGCAGAACTTTACTTTTTTCACCATTGAATTTCATTTTGTTAGATAGCGCCCAATGTTCAAGTATGTCCAAGTCCTCCTGTCTGTCTTCTGGAGTGTTGGCTATTCCTGACAACTTGATGTCGTTTGCAAATTTGATGAGTTCCCCATCTATCCCCTCATCCAAATCATTGATGAAGATGTTGAAGAGCACTGGGCCCAGAACAGAGCCCTGGGGCACCCACTACACACTTCCCTCCATGTAGATGCAGGTCCATTGAGGACCACACGGTCCTCAAAAGCTGGTCAGACAGCTATAAATCCATCTGGTGATGATTCTGTCTAACCCACATTTTTCTATCGAGTAGTAGGTTGTGATCTACTTTATCAAATGCCTTACTGATGTTTCAAATAAATTATATCCGCAGCATTCCTCTGGTCCACTAATTTTGTCACCTGGGTCAAAGAATGCAATAAGATTTGTCTGGCATGATCCGTTTTTGACAAACTGATATTAGCTTTTGTAATTACTTTGTTTGCCTTTAGGTGTTCACTGATTAGTTGCTTATCTTTTTCAAGATCTTCCCAGGTATTGAGGTCAGGCTGATAGGTCTGTAGTTTCCTGGATCCATTTTTCCCCCCTTTTTGAAGATGGGAACTACATCAGCTCTTTTTCAGTCCTCTGGTAGTTCCCCTGTGCTCCAGGATCTTTGAAAAATATAGTTCAGTGGTTCCGAGATCATATCTGCCAGTTCATTCAGAACCTTGGGGTGTAATCCATCTGGCCTGGTGATTTGAACTCGTCTAAGGTGGACAGGTGCTCACTTAACCATTTTCTTGCCTATCTTAATTTGTGTTTCTAATCTGTTTTTTATGGCACTGTTTTTGATAGGTTGGACTTTTTTTTCCCTTTGTGTAAATATGGATGCAAAAACCGAGTTGAGTATTTCTGCTTTCTCCCTATTGCTTGTCACCTTCTTGCCACTTTCTCCCTCTAGTGGGCCAATCATTTCCTTAACTTTTTTCTGTTTTTTTTTACATGTTGAAAGAAGGTTTTTTGTTATTTTTGACTTTTGTTGCAAGCCTTAGTTCATTTTGAGCCTTAGCTTTCTTCATTTCACCTTTGCAGGCTTGGGCTATTTGCTGATATTCTGCCTTAGTTATGTGCCCCTCTTTCCACTTTTTATATTTGTCCTTTTTCTCTTTCAATTTATCAGAGAGTTCTTTACGCAGCCATGCTGGTTTCTTTTGAGATCGGTTATTTTTCTTCTTCGTTGGTATTGTGCTAGACTGGGCTTTTATAATCTCACTTTTCAAAATTTCCCAAGCTTCTTGAATTGTTTTCCTCTTAAGGATTCTCATCCATGGAATCCTTCCCAATCTCTCTCTAAATTTGTTGAAATTAGCTCTCTTAAAGTCCAAAATTCTGTGTTCTATTCCTTGTGCTTGCATAATGTTAAATTCTAATATTGTGTGATCACTCCCACCAAGGTTCCTGTGGTTTCAGCACCTTCTATCATTTCATCTCTGTTAGTTAGAATTAAGTCCAATATGGTTGATCTCCTGGTTCTCTTCTCTACTTTTTGGGAAAACAAAGTTGTCTGCTAGGTTTGTCAGGAATCTGTTTGATCTTCCACTTGGTGCAGAGTTTGTCTCCCAGTTGATGTCAGGGTAACTAAAGTCCCCAATTACTATTGTGATGTGCTTCCTACATATCTTAGTTAATTGACTAGTAAAAAGTTCATCTATTTCCTCTGTTTGGTTGGGTGGCCTATGTATACACCTATGGCAATGTCCTTTTTCCCCCTTTTATATTGACCCAAATGCATTAAAGACAGCTTTCATTATTGTCGTGCTCTATTTCTATAGAGATATAGTTATTTCTTATATAGAGAGCAATTCAACCTTCTCTTTTATATCCCTCTAGCTGTGAGTTCCATTTGTGGGTTTCATCCCACCATGTTTCCGTAATGGCAACAATATCATATCTGCCCTCATTTACCTGAATTTCTAATTCACTCTGTTTGCTGTTCATGCTCTGTGCATTGGTGTATAAACATGAGTCCTTTATGACTGACTCTTTGTTTACTTTCTACATAACCTGTGTGGTGTCTGAGTTCCCCTATTTTCTTACCACCTATCTGATTAGTGCACTTAAAAATTAGTGAGTTAAATATTTCTCCAGAAAAATCTGTGAATTTATTGCCAGGTAACTCAGTCCCTTCCTTTGATGGATGCAAACTGTCTCTTTTGTACACTTTTTCATTGGACCAGCTGCAGATATCATGACTAATATAACCAAAGCCTTCCCTTTACACCACTCCATTAGCCACATATTGAATTCTGCTATACACTGGCCTTTTCTATTTTGCTCCTTATACATTGGTAAAATCTCTGAAAAAGCAAGCCTAAAGCCTATCCCACTAAGTTCCTGCCCCAAGCTCTGGAAATCATTCTGGCCAGGGAGTACATCTTTTTGGGACAGATTGTTAGTGCCAAGATGTACAATAGCATCCACATCACACTCCATGTGAGATCTCACCTCATGAAGTTTCAGTGATCATGAGAACGGAGAGGAATCAGCCCAGAACTACATGGAAGGATCTTGTCAATGATATCAAGGCAGCTGGGACCATAGTTACCAGATAAAACAATTAGTAATACACTACACCATGAAGGACTGAAATCCTGCAGCTCCTGCAAGGTCCCCCTGCTCAAGAAAGTACATGTACAGGCCCGTTTGAAGTTTGCCAATGAACATCTGAATGATTCAGAGAACTGGGTGAAAGTGTTGTGGTCAGATCAGACCAAAATCGAGCACTTTGGCATCAACGCAACTCACCAATGTTTGGAGAAGGAATGCTGCCTGATTCCAAGAACACTATCCCCACCATCAAACGTGGAGGTGGAAAATTATGTTTTGGGGGTGTTTTTCTGTTAAGGGGACAGGATAACTTCACCGCCTCAAAGGGACGATGAATGGGGCCATGTACCATCAAATCTTGGGTGAGAATCTCCTTCCCTCAGCCAGGGCATTGAAAATGGGTCATGGATGGGTATTCCAGCATGGCAATGACCCAAACACACAGCCAAGGCAACAAAGGAGTGGCTCAAGAAGCACATTAAGGTCCTGGAGTGGTCTAGCCAGTGTCCAAACCTTAATCCCATAGAAAATCTGTGGAGGGAACTGAAGATTCGAGCTGCCAAACATCAGTCTTGAAACCTTAATGACTTGGAAAGAATCTGCAAAGAGGAGTAGGACAAAATCCCTCCTGAGATGTGTGCAAACCTGGTGGCCAATTACAAGAAATGTCTGACCTCTGTGATTGCCAACAAGGGTTTTGCCATGAAGGACTAAGTCATGTTTTGTGAAGGGGTCAAATACCTATTTCACTTATTAAAATGCAAATCAATTTATAACTTGTTTGAAATGTGTTTTTCTGGATTTTGTTATTTTGTCTCTCATTGTTTGTCTCTCTACCATTAAAATTATAGACTGATCAAAACTGGATGACACTTCTGATAAAATCCCTCATTTAAAGTGTGAGCATAAACTTTAAAAATCCTTAAAGTCTAAGGCAGGGGTTCCCAACTGGGAGTGTGAGACAATATTCCAGGGGGTGCAAAAACTTGAATTTTCAAAATTATAGTGTATAAGCATAATTCATTGCCATTATTTTGAACTTTTATAAGAGGTGGGAGAATATATCAGAAGCATTCTAGGGGTGCAGAGTATAGAAAAAGTTGGGAACCACTGGTCTAAGGGCATGTTTGCTTCTGGGTTTGCCTGCTTCTTTTATGGAGCTATTACGTAAGTTCTACAGAAAAGATCCTTCTGAAGATGCCTTGTTAACTGTTAAAATCTCGCTTTTCTGGTAAAGGAGCCAGCCATCTTCTGCACTGCTGTAATGCACTACCTCAAAAACTCTTTCTCTTTAGATTTAAAAAAAAACTTTAAAAAATGATATTTTTTTCTAAGTTTTTCATTTTTAGTTAATTTTAGTACCAATTTTAATGTATGTATGTATCTACTGTTACTTGCTTTCAGTATTTAGTTAGAAGAGCAGAATTTGAACTGGATATTTGACTAGGTTTTCACATCTAAGGTGTAAACAAATCATATTATGAATTTGATTTATAAGCCCAGTTGCCAAAACATATTACTTATTCATCTAGCCCAGTGCTGGCTGCATATCTCCCAATATTCCTTGGTTAACTCAGCTAGCATTAAATCAATGGCTTGTCAGTATTTTGAACCACAAACTAGTAATACACATTTTAGTATGGCATGCTTTGCAAACTTAGTTCTGTCTACCCAGATATGGACATTCCACAACTTTCTTCTTCTAGAATATCAAGAGGCTTGATGACCTGTTGAATTGTTACTAAGACCTCATTTTTGTGGCCTATCTATGCTATATCCAGTATGTACTATATCTGAATAAACAGCATGGAACTGGGAAAACCAAGAGTAACAGTACCACCTAAGTTGAATCTTTTATTCTTGTCCCTTTAAAGCTTTTCACCTTTAAAAAGGGCCTTAAGTCAGTAGTTGAGTGCAGAAACTTCTTCTCAAGTTGAATAAATGGCAGAAATCCAGAAGAACCTACTTTATATTTTCTTACTCCAACTCAATAAGATAAAATATTAAAACAATGACCAAAAAAGTACTGCAGAACCTTGACTGAGTTATGAGAAATATTTTACGTTGCATAAAAATATGATCCAGCCTGTATATGATGGTAAACTGAAACATACAACTGAAAAAGATCAAAGATGCATCAAAGCAGTCTTTTATTTTCATTCCAGCCCACAAAGATCTTTGATTCTCTTGTGTTTGTTAGCACCAGGAACTAAGGTCCATTCAGGAAGAAATGTACTTCTGCACATGATAAAAGGACTATAACAGAAACAGAAGAAATTAGGCATATAAGCCACTGTAGCTGTATAATGCAGTCTACAATAGCTCATAAAATTGTCTCCTATAGTATCAAGCAGTCGCAAGCCTGAATGTCCCCGATTTCTTATTTTACAAAAAGATTATGCAATTTCACAGCAGAATGGTCCACAGAAGGGAAATGGAGAGATCAGCTGCCCATTAATCACATTCCTGTCTAATAGAATGGGTAGAAGTCCTGGCTACCATAAACAATATTCTTACGATTAGGCTGCACATCCATTTCTTTTTTGCCAGAACAAAATGTTTTAAATATATAGATTTGGGTAAGAATAAAAGACTGGGTTGGTGCTTTCTCTTGTGTGCAGTGTATATGGCTGCTGAGAGGCATAGCATAAAGATTATTGTGGCTGCAGGGATAGAAGCAGCAGTGGCAGACTACACGGGATCAGGAATAGCAAAGGACATGCTTTGGACCAGCAGGCAAAGGGTTGAACCCACCTATTTGTTGAGGACGTTTGTCCTGAGGAACCCAAGCAGAACTAACTTGGAGAGTTGACCACCCCAAGTATAATATGTTCTGAAGTTGTCCAGGTCAAATCACCCAATCTAACCCCATTCTTATTCTTTGTAGAAATTAGACTGTTCCTGAACTATACTCCAGTTCAGGCATGTGAGGCAGTTGTTTTTTAGAAGGTGTGAACAAGTTGCATGTTTGGTACTGTTTGCACAATCTGAATGGAAGACAGTCCTTGGGATGCAACTGGACTTTGTAAAACCTGCACCATTTGAGGAGTGCTGTTGCTTTCAACAGCAGCTTGAGTGTTATCTGGGCTATTTACCTGCAGAGTCGGTACACTCTCCAATACTTGGAGAGTCTGTTCTCCCTGTGCACTGCGGATAATCAATAGATTCTGCCCAGTCCCTGAGCTACCATCGGTATTATGTAACTGGAGGCCGGACAGTTCCTGCACAGTCTGGATGTTCTCTACTTCCTGAACACACAAACGGGTTTGTTCTCCACCTGCCCTTCTCAACACTAATACATTTTGAACCCCTTCTTCAGTCTGCAGAGTCTCAAAATGCATGTCTTGTACACCCTCAAGGTTCTCAACCTCACCTCCAGGCCCTAGCAGTTCCTCTCCTGGAGAATTCTGTACAACGATCAGGTTCTGGCTTTCTTCTTCTATGTTGGATCCCTGATGGAGGTCCACTTCAGAGAGTTCATGTGAGCTAGACATAGCATTTCCAATCTCATTCATTTCCTGAGCTGAGCTCAGAGTCTGAAGTTGGACACTGGCCATCTCTTCTGAAGGCTGAAGCTGCTGCCCTTCTTGGGAAGACATAAGCCCCTGGATTTGATTTGAACTATCCAACTGTTGGGAAGGAGCAAGACCTTGGATTTCAACACTGTTCACTGACTGATTTGACTGAGGCAAATTTTGAATCTGAAGAGAGTTGGTCTGCTGACAAGATGTCAAGGTCTGGATCTGAAGAGAGCTTACTTGTTGGGAAGACTGGAGGTTTTGGAGCTGCAAGGTCCCCACCTGCTGGGAGGATGTTACAGCCTGAAATTGTACAGTATTCATCTTTTGTGAGGGCTGAAGTGTTTGGAACTGCACTGTGCCAGCTGGTGGGTAACTGGACAGACCCTGGATCTGCACAGTGTTTGCTGACTGGGCAGCAGACAAACTCTGGATCTGAACAGTGTTCTGGGGTAGAGGCAGACTTTGAATCTGTACGAGACCAGTCTGTATAGAGTTAGGAACAGCCTGGATCTGAATTGTGCCGGTTTGCTGAGCAGTAGGCAAGGTCTGAATTTGTAGGGTGCCACTTTGCTGGGCAGTGGAAAAGTTTTGGAGTTGCTGAGGCAGAGTTTGAATCTGGATAGTACTTGTTGATGGATTGGGTGGTATATATTGTATCTGCACTGTGCCCACTTGTTGTTCTGGCAAACTCTGGAGCACCATAACATTCTGTCCTTTGGTCTGCAATCCTGGTGACCTCTGTATTTGTACATTAGGGATAGGCTGCATATTGGCTCCAGTGGTACTGGGCATTAAAATAATATTCTGGTTGCTAGATACTGGTGGTGGGGGATGTACTGACACAGGCCTCTTTCCCTTACTTTGACGGAGTAGGACAGGTTTGTTTGGAGTAGTGGAAGCACTTGGCACCAAAGTAAAAGTTGTTGAAGCAGCAGGTGTAGTTGTTACCATCTGTGGACTGGGCAAAAGGATGAGTTTGGGGGGTGAACTTTGGAGAGGTGGCTGCTGCTGCTGCTGCTGCACACTGGGAATGAGCTGCAAGCCCTGAGCCGTCTGTACTAGCAAGAAAGTTTGACTGTTAGAAGAAACAGCTGGGGATGAGCTGCCACTTAGCTCCACATTCAGAGTTGCCTGCATGTTGGGCACGATTTGTACCTCCTGGGTGGCAGAAGATGAGGCAGTAGTTGTGTGATTAGCTGCCTCAGTGCTGTTATGGGTACGCAAATGACGCTGTAGGTAAGATGCCATGACAAAAGCCTTACAACAAACTGGGCACTGAAAAGGACGTTCCCGAGAATGGGTACGTCGGTGCAGTGCCAAGTTGGATGAGTGAGTGAATGCCTTGCCGCAGTCCCGGCAGCAATAGGGCCTCTCGCCAGTGTGCACCCGCTGATGCTGCCGGAGGTTAGAAGTCTGGGTGAAAGCCTTGCCACAAGTCTGGCAAGCGAAGGGACGTTCCCCTGTATGCAGCTGCTGGTGCCGACGAAGGCATGAGGTATTCTTAAAGGCTTTCCCACAATCCTGGCAGGCATATGGACGCTCTCCAGTATGCTGGCGTAAGTGGTATTGGTAATGAGAGGCCCATTTGAATGCCATCCCACAGGTGGGGCAGGTGAAGGCATGCAGCCCTGTATGCACCCGCTGGTGAATACGCAGCAGTGATGAGCGCTTGAAGGCCTTCCCGCACTCACTACAAGCATAAGGGCGCTCACCTGTATGATCACGGAGGTGATAACGCAGGCCTGAGGAGCCCTTGAATGACTTCCCACATTCTCCACACACATACGGTCGCTCAGATGGTGGAGGTGGTGTTGCGGTGGCTGTAGGCACTGGCTCAGCCTGTGCTGGACAGGTCACTTCAGCTTCCTCCAGCCTCTGCTCAGCTGGGGGATGTGAACGCTGGTGGCCCAATAAGCTGGCCAGTGCAGGGAAGGAACGCTCACACACCACACAGGTGTATGTGCGATCTGATGAATGTTGGCTCTGCTGATGTCTTGCTAAACCTGCCGCACTCTTGAAAGTCTTACCACACACTGAGCAAGATACTGAGGATGTGGGAGATACTGCAGGTGCCATCTCCTCCTGCACTGATGGTGATGGCATTTCTGGCAGAGGCAGTGGTTCTGTTGGGGCCAAGTGCGTTTCCTGGTGACTTAACAGTTGCTCTTGCAAGGGAAAAGTAAGATGGCAGATACTACATCGAAACACCATCTCTACCGTAGTGGTTGGCTCCTCCAAGAAGAGCTGTGCTGGAGGTGCAACATCAGCATGAGTCTCCAAGTGCTGCTGCAAATAGGTGTCAGATGCAAAAGCTTTACCACAAATAACACAGGTGTGAACAGAACGGGCAGTGTGTGCTGATCGACAATGCAGTGCTAGGTTAGATGAGTGTGTGAAAGCTTTACTGCAGTCCTGGCATTGATAGGGTCTTTCACCAGTGTGCACTCGCTGATGCTGTCGTAGGTTTGTGGACTGAGTGAAAGCCTTGCTGCAGATAGGGCAGACATAAGGACGTTCACCTGTATGTGTGTGGCGGTGCCGTCTCAAGCTAGAAGAGTTCTTAAAGGCCTTATCACATGCTGGACAGGGATAGGGGCGTTCTCCAGTATGTTGGCGCAGGTGATACTGGTAATGGGAAGACCATTTAAAGGCTTGGCCACAATGAGCACATTTAAAAGCACGCAGACCAGTATGTACACTCTGATGGATCTGAAGCAAGGACGACCGTTTAAAGGCCTTGCCACATTCACCACACTTATATGGTCGCTCACCCGTGTGTCCACGCTGGTGATACAGCAAGGCCGATGACCCTTTGAAAGCTTTTGGACATTCTGAGCACTTGTAAGGCCGCTCGCCTGTGTGAGTCCTCTGGTGATGGATGAGTCGTGATGACCATTTGAACACCTTGCCACATTCTAAGCATTCATATTGATGATCGCCACTGCCACCACCAGGACCTCCACCTGCTGGGGCCACTGCGGGCACTTCTGCTGCCTGCATCTCTATCTGCTGAGCTCCCACCATTGCCACAGATTTCACCTGCTGGAGAGAATAAGTATTACCTGCTTGTCACTAACATGTCAACAATTCTTATGCATATCCATAGCAACATTAGTCACTAATTTACTTGCAATTCAATATGTTGCATGCATCTATAAAAAAATCATATATCTGAGATATAAACAAAATCTTCCCTACATGATCTTCCCCCATTCCATGTACTTTGCCCCAGAATTTACATAAGGAAATAAGCAGTACTATGTAAAAGTTTAGGGAATTGATGTTTTCTATTATCATCTTTCAAGGAAGTGCTCTGCTACTGGCAAGAGCCCAGAGCCCAGAAAAGGAGATAAAATATATTACCAGCCCTGGCTGTTAAGGAACAGAGACATATATTAACACTGAAATTATTTTCCCAATGTTGTAACCTCAGAGCTGCACCAATGTATACAGCTACAGCAACAACAGCTTGGGGAGCAGGTATTTTCTATTCATCCTTATAATACAGTTGTTCTAAATTTATTACATCACAACATACTATTCTAACAGCCTATTTATGTGTTGAAATAATGCTACTTCACATGTAGATTATATAAATAATCTCTGAAACTTGAATATCAGCTGAAATAACAGCAACTATGTTTATTATAACAAGAAAAAGAAAATAGTATATTCAAAAATAACAGGTGCAATATTTTAATTGACAATAGAATACTAGAGCTGAAAGAGGGATCTGGTGGAAGGAAAGGAAAACTGACAAGAAAGGATATACAACTCAGACATAAACTGTTGTTCATTTGTAGCAATTGGTAGGCAACTAAAAACTAGCAAAGAGCTGGCTACTACAGCAGAGCAGTCTGATAAATTAGAGGAGTTGGAATGAGGCAAATTTAGACCATTTGCAGCCAGAGTTCAGATTATAGCTGAGAATTTCTCCATACTATCAAAGGAGTATCTATGAAGCTGGTGAGTCACAATTCCTATATCTCACTTTTGGCCAAACTTTGAAAGGCAACTGAGGGCTGAAACACAGATCTGGAGCCACAATTTCCCAATTCCTATGTTATGCAATAAACCAGGGGTCTTCAAACTCAGCCCTTTTATGACTCATGGACTTCAACTCCCAGAATTCCTCAGCCAGTTGAAGTCCATGAGTCATAAAAGGGCTGAGTTTGAAGACCCCTGGTTTATTGCATAACATAGGAATTGGGAAATTGTGGCTCCAGATCTGTGTTTCAGCCCTCAGTTGCCTTTCAAAGTTTGGCCAAAAGTGAGATATAGGAATTGTGACTCACCAGCTTCATAGATACTCCTTTGATAGTATGGAGTTTGCAATAAACCAATATTAAACCAATAAACCTTCTTTCTCTCTCTCTCTCTCATACACACACAGACAGATGAAGTAGGATTCTTGAAGATGAAAAATCCTTAACCAATGTTCCATTTCCATATTATCGAAGCTCAGAAAAAGGACTAAAGCGTGAGCAGAGGATGTATTTTTCCTCTGAGTTTAATTTCTCTCTCCCACCATTTATGAAATTTTGCATAGGCCCCGTTTTATTTTAAGCAATGTCCAGCCTCATAACACTGTGAAGAAGACAAGTCATTCTTTTCTCCCCCCGTTTTTTGCATTGTCCACAGAGCTCTGGGGGTGCTATGAATTAGGTGCTGTTGTAAAATGTACTGAAATCCAGCTTTAGCAGTTTAGTGTATACATCTCCAATTTGGAACCTTCTAGAGATGTTGGATTGTAGCTTGCATCCTCCACCAGGCACAATGCAGATTGGGCACTGATGGGAGTTGTAGTCCATCTTAAGAGCACCAAATTGGAGAATGGTGGCTCAAAGGACACGGAGCTCACTTTGAACTTAGTTTTGGGAGGACTTGTTGGTGAATCTCTTGTGAAGCGCTAGATGAGAAAGAATTCCACATTCACGTGTCCTTCCTATTGCCGGTAATGTTGTAAAATGAAGAAATATCCTGCAATTAAAATTGCCATCGCTATTTCTCCAACCGGCCGCTTTGGGAGCAAGCGAATATTCTGTCGGAGGAAGAAAATCTTTTGTGACATGTCCCTTTAAAGAAAGAGCCTCTCCTTTAAGGAACCGAGCTCTGCCGCCCCTCCCCCTTCGCTGCCGTTCGATCTCGCGACGTCTTTTTTCCCTTCCCCCCCTGCCTTCCCACGAATGCTCTGAGTTTTCTCCTCACCTGGTCCTTTTTTTTCCTTCTCACGCGCCTCGCTGCAATGAGGGGTTGATGGGAGAACGGCCGCGGGGCTTTGGGGGGAGGGGTACCCCCTCCACCCTCCTAATGGCCAGGGGCGCGAGACACCCAACCTTTACCGTGCTCACACTAACAGCCCGCGACGCCGGCCAATCTCACCCCTTTGCTCTTCTGCCATTGGCTACTCAGAATATCTTGGGAGTTGTAGTTTAAATACAAGCCTTTCGCCATCTTGGCCGTGGGGCACGTGACCGCGAAGTACATATGCTGGAGGCTCAACAGGAAGCGGTTTTTATGGCAGTTCGATGTCAGGCGGTTGAGTGATCGACCTGTAGATTTGGGCGGGCGCGGAAGTACTACAGTGTGATAAGAATTTGGATATTAAGAACGCATCAGTGTGCACGGATTATGAAAACAACGTGCATTTGCTTCAGTTGTTAATCTCGCAGGAGGAAGTGTTTTTGCCTGGTCCCTAATTACATTGAACAGTTGCATCAGTATTTGTAATGCCATAGTCTGAAATAATGTAAATTTTTAATGCTAAGAAATGTTAACCTCAAAAAGAACATGCATTGATTTTAGACAATACATCGATTTCAAAGTACCAGAATCATTGTTTGAACATAAAATATGTTTGTATGCTTGGATGTTACATATAGCAAAATTTTCTGAGTAGGGGCTTTTCCAGAGATACCTAGGATTTTTATTTATACAATTTTAAAGGAAATGGAATCCTTTGGGAAACAATGAAGAGACAGAGAGGTTGCCACAACACACCTTATCCAGGCCCAATCATGCAAATACAAACTGCTTCATTGGTTCCCTGAATCACAACAATGGAACTCAGACATTTGCTTGAAATATATTGTTTGATCTGTTCCATTCTTCATTAAATTTGTTAAGACTGTGTTCAGTGCAGCTTCCTGTAGGTCTAATTGGTAATTAATACTTTTAAGAGGTAGTCAGATATAGATGTATTATAGTACAGATAGTTCTCGGCTTACAACCACAATTGAGCCCCAAACATCTGTCGCTAAGCAAGACAGTTAAGTGAGTTTTGCCCAATTTTAAAAACTTTCTTGCCACAGTTATTAAGTGAATCACTGCAATTGTTAAATTAGTAACACCGTTAAGTACATTTAGATTCCCATTGGCTTTGCTTGTCAGAAGATCATAAAAGGTGATCATATGATCTCGGGACACTGCAACCATCATAAATATGAGTCAGTTGCCAAGCATCTCAACTTTGATCATATGGGAATACTATAACGGTCATAAGAGTGAAAAATTGTCATAGGTCACTTTTTTTCAGTGTTGTAACTTCAAACAGTTACTAAACAAACTGTTGAACACTTAGTTAAGGATTATGTAACTGTTTATTTTACACTAAATATTACTAAGGAGTGGCTAATGGACTGGAGGGAAGGGCTTTTGCCATTAATGGATTGATAGCATTAATGGAGAAATGCTTAGAATATTATGATAGTTAAACAGGAAAAACTTAGGCAGAGGAAAAGTATCAATTTAGTTGTAAGGAGTGGAATTAGAATTCAGAATAAATATATTTCTAGTGTGCACATATGTATGCAAACTTGTTCACAGCAAATCTGGGTTGAAGCCAATTAATTACATAAAAACAAAAATATTCAGTTAAGTAATATATTGTAGAAAAGCTGAGAAGCCATTATGAAAGATTTCATGACTGTTGTGCATCAAAAGTGAATCCTATTTGTACTGAAATCAATGTTTTTAATTTTGTTCTTTTTCTTGCCCAAATTATGCAATTCATGATTTTATTTATTTATTTATTTATTTATGAGACTTATATACCGCTTTTAAGTGCAAGCACTCTCTAAGCGGTGTACACCAGTAAACAATGTATATATATATTTACATTGCCCCCAACAATCTGGGTCCTCATTTTACCTACCCCGGAAGGATGGAAGGCTGAGTCAACCTTGAGCCGGTGAGATTTGAACCACTGACCTGCTGAACACAGTCAGCTAAAGTGGCCTGCAGTACTGCACTCTAACTGCTGCGCCACCTCGGCTTTTCTCCTTTCGATGGGAGAGTCAGTTTCCATTTGTTTTGACAATAGACAAATAAGATACCAGGTTATTTTCTTTTGACCATGTAAAAACTATCCCACATCCCAGCTAATTTCCAATCTGGATTTCAAACTTCTTGCCCTGTCAATGACCTTGAATATGCTTATTTGCAATGTGCTCTGATGTAGATCAGTATGGTTGGATGGAGGGTGCTTATTTTGGACACAAAAACTGAATTAAATGGCAATACCATCTTCCTTTTCTGTTATGTTTTATGATATTGCTTTCAGTCTCATCAACAAGCTCACAAATAACAACGTTAGCATTTTTCTTCTCTGTCTCTTTGAGTCCCTTTCCAGGGCAGAGGGAACATGATCTGGATAACCTGCTGAGTTGTCCTAGCAGTTACATAGCATCCTGGGAGCCAGCCTAAGCTATTAGCCTACTGGAAGAAATCCAGCATGTTCCAGAACTGAGGTGTGAAAACATCGTTGACAAGAGATTACACAAACACTTTTGCTGTTACACAACAGCCTTTTGGCTGTTTTCCTAACTAGTGATCAGAAAGTCAGAATGTCAATTGTGAATTGACCATCAGAGTTTATATTTCACTATAGAACATCTGGCAGAGATTAGATAGTCCCTACTGCATTTTAAAAGTTCCAAAAGTTGTTATAGTGCCCACCAAAATCAATTTCCTCCCCCCCTTTAAACTGTTCCTATGCATGTTTATCTAAAGTAGGAATTCTAGTCTTCCACATCTAGAATGAAAGGAACCAATTATCCAGATTAATTTATTCTGAGTAAATCTATACAAAATAAAAATGTACACTCATCCCTTTCCCTAGAAAACAGAATGCTTGCAGATTTTTTTCTGTTCAGCTTGCTATGTATAGTAATTTTTTAGAAGAATTACAGCATTATATGTTAAAGTTGGACTTTCCAGCTTGATTGTATTCAGCACTGGCATGCATAAAACAACTGATTTTGCCCAAATGGGATGTTGTATACCTTAATATAAGCACATTTGGTTTAATTAAATGGAAAATGCTTAAGTTAGAAATATTGGAATGGTGCCTTCCAGCTCTGTGATTTAGTGATCCTTTGTTTATATGTGATCCAATAAACGCTTGCATGAGTTGTAAACATGGCAATCCAACTTTAGCACAATCTGTCATTCTTAATTACTTTTTAGTGACTAGAAAGCTTATATGAACCTAAGGATTTGCACAGCTCAGTTGAACTAACTTGCAGATGCTCCTTAGTGATCTTTCAGAGGATGTTTAAAAGATGTCAAGCATGCTTAGTGTCTGGACAGTTTAGCATGCCTCAGTATTCATCAAATTTCAGAAAATTTAAAATGTTTTAAATTTAAAAGTGCTATGGAGTGGGGAGAAAAGACAGAATGAGGCTTAACATTAAATGCCTTCTTGTCAAAAGGGATAGGGAGCAACAAGTTTGCCCATTGGCCTTGATTTGGGTTAGAGGAGAAGTTATCACAAAAGACTGAACAACATTGAAAGACCTGGCAGATCCATCTTATTTACTATGCGCTGTCCCAGACTGTTGTCGACAGCTGCTCTATTCTGAACAGGACTAGAAATCTAAATCAGATGGAGAATGACATTCCTGAATCTGTGCCAGGATCAGAATTAAAAGTGTTGTGTGGCCATAGACACAGTGAGCCAAGCCACTGCAAAGTTGGAAAGGAACATAAAATGGATTGCCATCCGCCTGCCTGACTTGTGTTTGCAATTAGCAGCAGTTTCCTTGCTTTCTTTTTGGAAGTTTAGAGCAATTAAAACTTTTGGCAATTAAATGAATGCTTTACTTTAACAATGTATGCACAGTAAATAACTTCAGATTATTATATGCTGAAAATGCATTAATCAAGGAAAAGGGAGAAAAGTATAAACACACAAATGAGTATTATGAATACTTACATTTCAGTGTGTGGTGGAAAATTTTCAGAAGAGAATTGGGTGAAAACAGAAAACAAACATTGTGCATTTGAAGGGCTGCCACAAAGAAGAGGGAGTCACGTTATTCACCAAAGCACCAGAGGGCAGGACAAGAAAAATAATTGGAAACTGATCAAACACAGAAGCAACCTGGAATTAAGGAGAAACTTCATGACAGTGAGGACAATTAACCAATGGAATAGCTTGCCCCCAGAAATCGTGGGCGCTCCATCACTGGAGATTTTTAAAAAGAAGCTAGACCGGTGGTTCTCAACCTGTGGGTCGGGACCCCATTTGGAGTCGAACGACCATTTCACAGGGGTCACCAAACAACGCAGTCCGCCATTTTTTTCCCCTTTTCCTTAGCTGTGCTACTCCCTTTTATTCTATTGGCTTTTGAAAGCCAATAGAATAGACTCTCTTGAATAGAGTCTAATTCTATTGGCTTTCAAAAGCCAATAGGAATTGTCCAGGCTGTCTCTGCCCTGCTGAGCCCGCCAAAAGTCCCATTCTGCAAACGGTGCTGCACCAGTTGAGTAGTCCTCGACTTACGACTGGTTGAGTAGTCCTCGACTTACAACTGGTTGGGGGTCGCGGCATTAAAAAGGTTGAGAACCACTGAGCTAGACAGTCATTTGTCTGAGATGGTATAGGTTCTCCTGCTTGAACGGGGGGGAGGGGGGGCTGGACTGGAAGGCCTCCAAGGTCCCTTCTAGCTCTATTCTATTCTATCCCTCTTCAAGTGTGAAATGAAAATCCTGCAACTGCTTGTTGTTCATTGCTATAGTTTTTTCTCTGTATTATAGAGAATATGCAGTTAGTCTTATAGAAGCTCAATAAAATTCTGAATACTACACAGAGAAGGGTCAATTCATAATGAAGGCTTTTGTGTGATATCACCATGGATGTAGTCATTTTGGCATCAGAACAATTTATGTTGATATCACAGACTGGAGACGAGTGAAAGCCAAATCACAGGGAACATGACAAAAAAAAAATGTCACACGTGGATTCATGTAAGTGGGCCCAAACAGGGAAAAGACCTATGTGTGACATTTTTATATAATTGTTGATATAATTAGAGAAGAGGACGAGACCAGGTATTCTGACATTAGCTTGGAAAGGAAAACTAGGACATTAATATAGTAATTGATTATTAGTAATGTTATTGTTACTAGTTCTCCAGCCTTCCCTAATTCTATAAATATTCTAATATTTCCATCAACATCTTTATTGTTAGTTTCTTCTATTAATTACCAGATGCGTTCTCCATCATTGCTGTTATTTGTGTCCTCCCAGCATATTTTATACTGTTTTCTGAATATGCTTAAGCTTTAATCATAAAGTTTTGCTTACTGGAGATGCATTCAATAAAGTGGATGTGTTTGGCATGTCAAAACTCTTGTAATGAGAAAAGGTAGACATCCATTCAGACAACTTTACCTTTGAATGGGCTATTCTCCATTTAGGAATCATGACTATTGTAGTTCGAATGTTCTGAAAAGTTCCAATAGAAGAGAATATTTATAGCTCAGGGTTGAATATACTGATGATATTACCTAGTCAGATAATGAAACATCTGTAAGCAAACAATCTCAGAGAACACCAAGAACTTCATAGTTCTGAAAAGTGCTTGGCTTCTAAATACCATTTTCCATTTTCCCAAAGTTGTAACCCAAGACAAGGTGTAATGCAACAATTTACAGAAGAGCAACAAAAATGATTTGGAGCCTAGAGCTAAAAAATATGAAAAATGATTGCAGGAATTGGGTATACCTAGTCTAATGAAAAGAAGGACCATGATAGCAGTCTTCCAATACTTGAAGGGCTGACATAAGGAAGAGGAGACCAACTTTTTTTTTAATAATTTTTTATTTTTCCCCCATACATATACCGTGATATTTATCAGATGTTAACATACGTTCTTTTTACATTCATTTATAAGATACTTTTAATAAAATGAAATAAATACATACACATGACTTTTGGTGTTGCTCACCCATTTCCCCTTTCACTGTATCCACACTCCTTCTTCTCTACCTTCTTTCTCCCTTTCTTCTCTTCCCTACTTCCCTCTTCAGGAAGAGGAGACCAATT